TGTCACGCGGCGGCTACGGCGGCGGCGCCGGCGAGAAATACCGACACTTCCGTGAGCTTTTTATGTTTAGAGCTTCGTTCGTTCGCGTTTCGTGCCCATCGCTCGTTGGCAATATTTAATACCCGAGCCCCGTAACTCGCGCGCGTGTACACTTTTCTAAGCAACGGGATAACGCACCTCGCTCTTAAGAGAGAGCTAGCCAATAATCTAGAGGATTACGCGTGTGGATCGTAATCGCCGCGCCACTGCTGCTGCTGCTGCTTCTTTATTCTTTCTTCTTCTTCGGTGCTTCTGCTTCTGCTGCTGCTGCATCAATGTTTCTTTCCACTCGGTCATTATGGAAGTATGTGCGATATGCGTAACGAGCCTGTAAACCGACTGTATATATAGGTACCGGCGCGTGTGTGGCTTCGAAAATTAAAAAAAATAATTACGAGAGAAAAAAAATTGGCAAATTATTCGGATCGAGTTTTGTGCGAGAGTTGTTGAAATTCAACGAATACGAAATGAAAATTAAATTTCGACGATTTGCTGCATAATGATTCTCTCGAAGGTCGAAGAATATATAATACAATTTGATAAATGCAGTTTAATGGTTTTCATTATAGAAGGACAGGAAGAACGATACACAGTTTCGAGTGGTTAAAAAAAAGGTTATAATGTATAAAAAAAATCTGGAAACTGCAGCTATTTTAATACTGATTACAGTGTGAAGGGCAAGGAGATGCGTTCTGCAAAGTCTCTTTGATTTTTTTCTCTCTCGCTGGCTCGGTATGCTATCACGCGCGCAGCAACACGAGGTGCTAGAAATAGCGACAGGATGAAACGATCGGATTATATGGCTATATAGAGGCGCGCACACACAAGCTCTCTTGTGCAGTAGTATACAGCAGAGAGCCTCCAAAGGAGATAATCGTCGCGTGCGCTCGCTCACTTACATAGAGAGCCCTGCACTTGAGAGCGCATCGGTGTATATAGAAATACACTTGTACGGAGCTATACATCTATGAGGCTGTGCGTTTGTAAATGTGTGTGTGTGCCAGCCAATTTCGTTTCCGATCTTGTCGGGTTCGCTGCTGCTGCTGCTTCTGCACGCGTTGCTCGGACAGACACGCGGCTATATAGCTCGCTGTTATGTGCGTGTTGGCTGCGCGAGCAGGGAGGCAAAAATCCGTAATTGATTCCCTCTTGCAGAAGAGGCAGAAAGAGAGAGAGAGAGAGAGAGAGAGAGAGAGAGAGGTAGATAGAGGCCTAATCATAGCCTCCCTCTGTGTGATTCCAAGCTTGCGCTCATTACTTCCTTCCTTACTTCCTTGAGCTTTTATTTATAGGCGCGCGCGTGAACTACTGCCAAGAGGACTGTTGCTGGCTTCAGACCTGCCATTAAAGTAGCCGTCCGTAATCGATTGACGACGATGAGCGCGTACAGTACACGAGAGTCCAGAGCAGAGCAGAGCAGAGAGATAAAAGAAATCACGTTGGTTGCGGGACGAGAGAGAAAACAAGCAAATTCATTCGAGAGCTGCAGAGCAGCAACAGCAGCAGAGTCGACTGATTGAAAATCGAGTTTCAACGACCCCCACGCGCCTCTCTCTCTATTACCCGGTCCTGTATATATAGGTGGGCATAAAATTGCGAAGGCGTAAATGAGAGAAGAGAGGAGCAAAAGGAGGCTACGCGCGAGCTGCTGCTGCTGCTGCTGCTGCTGCAACGACGTCGTTATTGTTTATAGTAAATTAGCTGCCTATATTACATACATTGGTAGGTACCCGCATCGTACCCGTGTAATATTATTAAATTTTTTCAAGCTCTCTCTCTCTCTCTCTCTCGCATATTATTATATAGGCAAGCGAACTCTTATAGAAAGGCCACAATATTTATAATGCAATCGACGAAGAGGGTCGGTATGAAATTCGCGCGTGGCTAGCTAGGCTCTAGCCGATCTCGTACGATCAGGCACAATAAATAAAAGGCTGCAGGATCGCTGCACTCGTAGGACGTGATATCGAAGAGCTGCTTATAAACGTGCTGCTGCAAGCTACAACATCGAGGTTGTGTGTGTGTGTGTGTGCGCGCGCCGATCCGCACTGAAGTAGAACGAACCTTGACATTGCTCAGGCACAGAAGAGAGAGAAGATTGTATACACTTGGGTCGCGCGGATCGATACAACTATATAGAAAACGTGATTTACAGGCGCAACGACTTTTGTTTCTTCCTCTCTCTCTCTCTCTCTCTCTCTCGTCGAGATATATAACTATATGTAGGCCCTTGCGAGCGCGCACACGTGTCTCTTTGTGCATTTCGCATTCTAATTTTCTTCGCCAGTGTACAGATATATATATGACAAGGCACGAATGTGCACCACCCCCTCCGCTTCCTCCTCGTCCTCCTCCGTCCGCCGCGTCGTATTAGACACAAAAAGATTCGCAGCAGTCAAACACGTACCTATGTATACCTATAAGTTCGAACCAGCCGCGCGTGCGCGCGCAGATATTGTTATAATGGGAGATTTTTGCAGGCCAACTCTCCAGAGAGAGACTCTCGCGTCCGCGATAATAATAATTCCTCTCTCTCTCTCTCCTGTACTCTCCACCACCGCTGCTTGGCCCCGGCTGTTTTTCCGTTATGTATATAACCCATTCTCTCAATCGAATTTGTAGATAATTAATATCTTTCAAAAGCACGTCGTATAATACATTCGCTGTATAGATTCGTTCTCGTCTTCGTTCCTTTCTTCTTCTTCTTCTTCTCTCTTCTTCCTCTCTTTTGCGCCTCTTTGGCTTTTCCTAGATATTCTCTCGCTGCTTATGTGTGTGTGTGTGTGTGTGTGCGTTGGTTGCCGCGCGGCCCCAAAGAAAAAAGGCATCGTGTACCCATTGTGTTTTGTTATATAGCAACCGATTATTAGAGAGAGAGTGTGGATATATCATAATATATTCCCTTCTTGCTTGCATCCAGGCACAAGTGCTATAGAGGTGTATTATATACACGTGCACACACACACAGAGTCCGGGGCTGGCCCGATGGCCTAAAACACGTAAACGTGTTATATACGAATGGAGGATAAAAAAACAGCAGCAGCAACAACAACAACAACAACTGAGTAGTAGAAATAACAGTACCGCGATGAAAGAAAAAAAGAAGAGAGAAAAAAAACGACGTGTCTAATTAACTCCGGGGCTCTTTACTTGTGTATAGTGTCGCCGCGCAGCTATTAGCTCGGCTAAATTGTATTATACATATAATACGCGGAGCACGGACCTGCCTGCGCGAGCCTCATTATATTGCGCGTGTGCAATGTCATCGCGACGCCGCGTTAAAAGCGACCACTTTTCCGCTCGCGTGCGTATGTACGTACATACATAAATACATATTCGCACAGTCTCGTTTTGCCGGCCCGAGAGCGTCGTAGTTCGCATGAGCTTAATTTCGGCAACTTGATTTTCGAGCTTCGAAGACAGAGAGGGAGAGAAAAGTATTGCCCCGCGCATCGCAGTCGCTGCTACCGTGAGAATAAGCGCGCACATTTCTGTGTTTCTGTGATTTTACTAATTGGGTCGAGCGCGCGCGAGCCAATTCACGAAATCACGACGAGTATCCAAAATTGTTCATCGTTATTGCTGTGTGTGTACCTTATTATCTCTTTTTCGAAAAACCACCTTTTACCTAGAAGAGAGCCAGAGGGGCTGGGCCGAGCTCTGTATCGAAAGATTTTAATTTAAATTGTCAATACAGCTGCACAATTATCAGTACTGTATAATGAAATGAGTAAATGCCTTCTCACAGCGCGCGAATATATTTGGGGAATTTCGCATTTTCAATTATCTATCTTGATTGCCTCTCGCTCTTTTGTTCCAGCCCAATAATGTACGTAATTTTATTTGTACTTGATGATACTTCGACTTCGAATCCAATCGACAGCTGTAAATCAATACGTGCCTTCCGTTACAAGAGTATTCGTTCGCGTGATAAATTTTAAAATCACTTTTTCGTAAAATTGTGAAGGATATCTCTCGACAGGTGGATATTTTTTAAATGTTCATTGTTGAAGCGAATTTTTATACTTCAACGCCATCTCTGATTTTCATGCGGTACTTATTTGCGCGGTTGAATCGAAGTCGATACGGAAGGTCTCCAGCGGTAAATAGATCCAGAAAAAATTGCCTTATCCTTTACGTATCGTAATGTAAATTTTAATCTTAATTATAACTAATGCCCGTACTAATCTTGCTTTTTATTACTTTAATCCCGGATACTGATTCAAGTACAATACCTACCTCACCTCTTGCCTATGCTTCAAAACTTTCAATTGTTTTCATATTGACACGTTGATCCAACACGATTGAGCTGTGATTTACAACTGTTATGACTGGATCAATCAATTGTCAAATCTCCGACAGTTGAAATATGATGGTTTGAAGTATGAAGCATTTTAAAACTACTTCCGAGTGATCGATAGAGTTTTCACGCGAAACAATTAAAACAAAACGGATAGAAAGCTTGGAAAAAACTACATCCGTATTCAAAATAGCGAAAATTTAAAAATAATATCAAACTCTCGGAACAAGTGTGACAAAGTAACTAAGTAACAGGTAAAAAAATTTCACCGAGTTTATGAGTTTTTAATGATGTCTTTGAATACTGACTCACCATTATTAGAATTACACGAATTGACGTGAGATTTGGGTACTTACAACAGGTTCAACACGAGTTTTTCATGTTAAATGTGACACAGACAAACATTGCAATGCCTAAGAAGGTATTGTTTTCTTCAAATGCTTCATAAAAATTAAGATGAGCCATCGTGCAGTCGCATTGAGTCATGTCTGCGTTTGTAAAGTCATCCGGCACTTTCGAGATGATTCACGCTTTTCTCGTTTTGAATTCTTGTAATTTTTCACGGATGCATAATTAAATTATCCTGAATTGCGTCAATTGCCGCAGTTGGAAAAAATGGAGTTCTTAAATGTCGTGAATAAGTAGTGCAACTTTGTTTTCAACAGCATCGTCATATATTTTATTAAAATGTAATTATTTTTATAGATTTTTATATAGAAACAGGAGTAACGCCGATATCAAATCGACTATTTCTCTATACATTCTTGATACGCATTCGATATATAATATATCCTATTCGACATTTTTTTATCCATTATAAATTTGTGATTTTTTCATATTTACATATTTGTCATTCACGATATAATACGAATAAAACAATATTGATAACCTATATCGTTATTACTTTTTTATAATCATTCATTCGTTTAATATATAATATTGACGATATACAGGTTTAAATTGTTACGATTACAGACTGTTGGGGGAGACACCCTTTAAAAAAATCATCTCAATTTTACAGCATTAATTGTAGTTGATTTTTTGATAAATAAAAAGTTGATCGTTCTTAGCTCGTAGTAAGCTGCTTCTTTCAAAAAGAATAATAATAAAAAAAAACACTCTCTTTTTCGTAGCATTCGTTTATGTGTCATAAAATTTCAAAAGAAACAAAATATTTTCATCGTTTCGCCACGGTCAACGATAATTCTATCTACCTACCTAAATGCATTGAATAATATAATAATTCTATCTAGTAGCCTTAGAATGTATACACAAGTTTTATTTTTTCATACGTTTAACGTCGGTGTGTGCGAATGCTTTCCTTTCTATACAAAATCAACGATCATAAGATATCATAAGGTATATTTATACACAAGATTCCGATAAAATAATAATCTTTTTTCTCGCTTCGTCCATTCATCCACACTCTGCATATAAAACATTTTTTCCTTCATAAGATTATTAAAAGAAAAACAACAAAAAACGTTTTAAATTTCTTGATGTTTAAAGCTATTTTCTTTTCTCTCGAATTACACGACAAGTATTATGCGCGGAAAAGACCCCCATCGTGTGCTCTCGAGCAAGCTCAAAATTAAAATTAAAAAATAAATAAATAAAATACTAGTAAAGCTCAAACACACGCGTCGATGGCGAGAGTTAGAGAGAGAAAGAGAGTATTTATACACATGATTTTTTTAATATCTATATACGAAGCGCTGAGAGAGAGGTAGGGTGGCAAAAGTAGGCCACAATATATTAATTAATACAATATACATACATAAAAACGTTCTATGTAATACTGACCCGTCGCGCCGCTTCTCTCGCACCTAATTATTCGGCTTGTTTTAAACCCTCGGTTGCGTCGATACAATTATTGTAATTTTTTTTTCTTCAAATACGCGCACGTCATTTTACATGACTCCAACGCGATACATTATTGATAAACGTAATATATAATATATATAACATATATGACCCTATACACAATCAGTCAATCTCATATAATAATAATTATAATTATTATAGTTAAAAATGAATAAACTCGCTCGTGAGTTGTAAATATGGAAGACTCGTTGCTTTGTTAATAATACACGCTCGTTCGTGTGTGTGCCAAATTCTTCTTCGTCATCGGCGATCGGAAAAATCGATCGGAGCACAACACACTGCAGCAGCTGGACAGACTCCTCTCTGGAGCTGTGTGCACTGCTGCATTCTTCTTTTTTTTCTTTTTAGTTTAGTTTAATTTATCGATAAAAATTATTAGGAATGTCAAACTAGGGTGTAGACGGGCTCGGGCGGGTGCCTCTGGGGCACGCAGTGACCGCTGAAGACCTTGACGCCCATGCCCTCGCCGTAGTAGGGCGAGGGAAGCGAGCCCAGATCCGTGTGCCTCTTGGGACACCTGTAGCCCTTCTGGCACATGCACAGGGGCGAGGCATTGACGTCCTCGAGGCCCTGGGCCAGGGCCTGCGCCGTCGACGTCTTCTTGTGCACCGTGAACAGGCGGCAGGGCTCCTTGGCTTGGCACCTCATGCGCTGAAGAATAAACGTCGGATGTAAGATACATTTTTCACCAAGGATTTTTGGGATTTGCTGAATTCGAAACTTACGCTTTGGGGCGAGCAAGCGAACGAATAGATGAAGCCGGGCTGGCCGTTGTCTTTCATGTAGAACTGACGTTTGAGCAGATACGCCACGCTGCCTGGCCTGCAGCGGCAATTGACTTTCTGGATGGTCGAGTTATTTGGGTCGCTACCAGGGGCGATCGTCCAGGTCACGTCCCTGTAGAGAGAAATAGAAAAGAACATTACAATCCGATCGTACTACGTATAAAATCCGTCGAATCGAGAGAAATCGCAATTATACTCACTTGAAGTATCGACAGATCGGCAGTCGCTTGACGGGCTCGCAGAGCTTGTACTGCCGCGTCTTGTCCACGACGGTGTGGCCGTCGTCGGCGTGCAGACTCGACGAGCACTGGCTGCCCTGCTGGCAGCGGCACTGTTTCTCGATCCACGGATCCCCGTAGAGATCGACTTTGCTGCAGACCTCGTTTTTCTCGCTGCATTCCGGCAAGTCCTCCTCGCTGCTCTGTTGTATATCGGACAAAGGAAGAAGAAAAAAAAACATTACGGTTTTATTCCCACGATTGGCATTATAAACCATGCATTATTGTGTTATAAGTATAAAATAAATAAAGCGGAGACGGATATATTTGCGCGCGTGCGCGAGCGCAAAAGTGAAAAGATTTCCGGCGCGCGGTATGTATACGTACGTACGTTTACTCGCGATCGTTCTCGAAAGGAGATTGAGCATTTCTGCAATTAAGCCGGCGATTTTTCTCTCCGTCTCTCTCTTTGCTCTCGGACTCTCTGTGCTCCGTGCCCAGAGAGAGAAAAAGGGAAGGAAAGAAGGAAGGAAATACTTATTCAAGCAACAAAAAGATGTATAAGAAATGATAATGACGATCATCGGAAGTAGAAATCGAAACAAGACTACAACGACGACGACGACGACGACGATGTTGCTTGCTGCTGCTTCAACGTCTGTGTGTCTGTACCGATGCGGAGAGCCACGAGAGAGGCTCTGAACCGGGGAAAAAATTGATCAAATCGAAATTCATTTCCGGAGCTTATCATCATCCCGCCGCGTCCCTCTCTCTCGAAGTTGGAGTGTGGCATTGAGCGCGAGAGACGGAATCTCTGCCCAGTGAGATGAGAAAAATCATAATAACAACGTAACACAAACGAGCAATAATAGTAACGAAAAAAAAAACGACGGCGATGATAATAATAAAAAAAAAGGTGAATAGAGGCTCTCCTTTAAGACACGACGGAAGTCGTCGTCGTCCTCGTCGTCGTCGACGTACTCTCCGCCGAGAGAGAGAGAGAGAGAGAGACTGCAGAGAGCTGAACGTAAAAAAGAGAAGGGGAAATAAGCCGGAAGCACTGCAGAGTGTTGTTGCAGAGCTGCCCCTTGGGCGCGCGTGCCTATGTGTGTGTGTGTGTGTGTGTGTGTGTGTGTGCATACTACGTCCCACAATAGCACAACACACAACACACTTGCACACAAACGGCATCGTTTATGCCATTTTTTTGCAAATAAAATATATACAACAACCAACGAGAGCAAAACAACGGCGCAAGGACTTTATATATATTATACGCGAACGGACACGACGACGGCGACGACGACGAGCGAGAGAGAAGCTTTTACCGTTTTCTTTCAATAAACGATGTCTTCTTAATTGTTCAAGACGAGCGAGGCCTGTAGCTGCTGCAAGCGGAGCAAAGAAAGAGAGAGAGAGAGAGAGACAAGACGTACACCGGCGGGCTCCGAGAGGGAAAAAAGTTGAGAGCGCGCGAGAGAGAAACGTACACTTTTTCACGCAGCTGTGTTTACCTTCTTTCCTTCCTTTCCATCCTTCCTTCCTTCCTTCCGTCTTTATAGAGCAACAGTAAAAACCGGATATACTCTTTATTATTTTGTGTGTGTGTGTGTGTGTGTGCGCGCGCGAGAGAGTCGTCGTTGTTATATATATTATTGTATTATATTTGCGCGATATATTTCTTTCCTTTTAGCCCCGAGGCGAGGTAAAAACCTTATATATACGAGAGAGAAACGTTTTTTCTCTCTCTGCTTCCCTTCTCTCTCTTCTCAATCCTAGCAACGACAGCGCAGCGCGACGTCGTCGTGGTCACGGCTGGGCACGAGGCAAAATATAAAAAATCCTATCCTACAGCGAGAGATCGTTATTATGAAAAAAAGCAGCAGCAGCAGCAGCAGTAGAGAGATGCGCGTCGCTCGCTCGCTGCGTTCGTTCGTCCCCCTGACGTATTCCCGACGCACATAGCTTAATCGAGGATAATCAGAGACAAGTGCATCGCTGATGTTGCACATCGACCACGACGACGACCATATATCCCCCCGCAAAGCACATAGCGATTGAAAGTGCACAAGCGTAAAGTACATGAGCCCTTGAGATGTGTGTGTATGCGAACGAATGTGTACATGTGGTTATATGGAGAGAGATAAACAAAATTACGAAAAAGATGCGAAGCAGCAGCTACGGACAAAAAAAGGATATGAAGAAGAGAGAGAGAGAGAGAGAAAAGGAGAACGAGCCGAGGAAATTAGCATAAAATATGCCAGGGGATCGTCGCTGCGCTGCAGGTGTGAAGACTCGACTATTGCTCTTATTATAATACAACATATATATGCTGCTTCTCGTCGTCGTCGTCGTCGCGAGGCGAACGTGTGCGTACGAGGAATCGAGTGGTAAATATTCGCAAAATGTTCGTGTGCGTGTATGCTTGCGTTGTATATACAAAACCACACCTATTCCGCGCACGCGGCGGCGGCGTCGGGCGCACATAGCTTTCGAGGTCGTGTGGCAGAGAGGCAGAGAGCATCAATATATAGGTACATTATGCATACGCACACAACACACACACAATCGTGGTGCGGACACATGTACCTGCAGTACGTAACGTACACACACACACACACACACACACGCGCGCGCGCGCAACAACAACACAACACAGTGCAATGGAAAAAGAAAGTGATTATTGTGTGTGCACGCACGTATATGTATGTATACATGCATCTGTGCGCGCGTGTGTGTATTAAGTAGTATGCGTGCTGCTGCTGCTGCGAGAGTAGAGTACCGATTGAACGCGAAGGCGAAGCTGCTGCTGCAGAGTGCGTAAGAATATAACGAGAGGAAAGGTCAAGGCGAGCAGGCTTCGTTTATGTATATAGAAAACCTCTTCTTCTTCTTCTTCTTGCGTCGTCTCTTCTCGTCTTCGTCGTCGTCGTTCGTGCCTTCATTTTACGCGCGCTCACGTATGTATATGTATGTATGTGTATGTGTGTGTGTATAATACAGGTAAAAGAAGGAATCAAAAAAGAAGAAGTAAAAAAAAAACGAGGAGGAAAAAAATTACACATACACGATGTGCAATGGAGCATTTCCGGTCGTATATATACACAGACACAGACGCACATGCATCCAGGCGCGCATCAACAAGCTAACGTGTGTGCGAATGCAAGAAAACACGCTTTTCCGTTTATGTATACGCGTCTCTCTCTCTCTGCCTCTCCTAATCATTGGGCTGTACCGCCGCTTCGGAGATCAATTTCCTCTCCTTTCTGCAACTATGCTACTTCTACTACTACTACTACTACTACGACGACGACGTCGACTTTGCAACTACACACCGAGTTGTTGTAGCAAAGCGGCATAGGAAAAGCGACGTCCGGCATTCGGTCGGCGCGCTGGAAGCAACGGAACTACATGCATTCGTGGTTCTCTCTCGTTCTTTTTTTTCTTCCTTTTCCTATTTGGCGCGCGAGCGCGCGGCTTCGAATATAATAAACGCCGAGCCGCGCCGGGGCTTGCGAAATTGGCGCATTGAATTTGTGCTGAATTACGCGCCCCGCGTGCGTGCCACTGCAAAGCTTGCGTTGTACGCTTGTTTAAAAATAAAAAAATTAAAATTACTGTCCATTAATTTTTTTTTTTTCCGTACTGTATAAGTCAGTTTATGTACGAAGGTCGCGAGCAAGTAACCGAATGGGATGCAAAAAAAATGTACTTTTTGAGTAACGATAGTCGGTACGTTGCTGCGTGTGTACGGAGAGAGAAGCTATTATATAAATCTGTGTTGAGGCTGCTGCAGTTATGATACCGTCGCGTCGAGTATTGTACATATATTTATGTATATCTATAGCTTATGCACATAAACGCGCTGCACAACATTATATACATATAAGCGCAGCAAGAGAGAGAGAGAGAGCCGCTGCAACGAAAATGAAAGGTGCACATGGACTCGTGTGTTCTGCGCGGCTCCGGTGCAGCACAGTGCAACAAGTTGCAAATATGCGCACCGCCGCGCGTATGTATAGTATATACCGTGTGTGTGTGTGCTATGCAGCACGCAGAGCGCCAGGTGTCGGATGATCACCCGAGTTTTATATGTATAATGCTGCTGCGAGCCTACAGACCTCTCTCTAGGTACCTATATAGGTATAGGTAGAGGTGTATAGGTATACATTATGCTCTGTGCTCTGTGCCGTGTGTGTGCGTATTATATAGGCTGCTGCGGTCGTGGGAGAAGCCAGAGACTCGTGAGAACTTCCGGATCCAATCTTCCGGACATCGCGCGCGCGTATATAATTCATTCGTGTTCGCGCGCGTAACTTGCGCGACGTTCGGTCCGCTTCGTGAATATAATACATCAACGCGTATGGTCGTCGTAAATAGCTTACTGACCCGCGAGCCGAGCCGCGCGCCGTGAAATTTACGCGACGCTATTAACTAGGCTTGTTATATAGATTACGCAACTGTACGCACCGGTGCGTGTGTGTGGCTGCTGCGGGGCGCCATAACAAACACATCGATAAGAAGATTTGCGTGTGTGTGGTTCTACTTACGCCTATCTGATAGAGGATCACGGGGTCCTTGTTGAAGCGTCTCTTGTTCGTCGAGTGTCGTCTGTTGTTGTTGTTGTTGTGATGGTGGCTATTGGACAGGCCAGAACTGACAGGACCGTGCACGTTGCCGGCCGCCTCGTCCTCGATCAGCACGATGGTCGTGTCTTTCTGGCGATGCTGAATCCTGTTGCGATTGCCGTAATCGTCGTCGTGTATCAATTCGTTGTTGTCGCGCAGATGCTGCTGCCTGTTGCGATGACGCCGATGTTGATTGCTGATACCGATCGATGCGGGCGTCGTCGTAGTCGTCGTCGTCGTGGAGGACGAGGAGTACGCCTCGAGATGTCGGAAGAGCTCCTCGCCGGTCTCGTCGTCGAACGACAGACCCAGCAGAGACTCGGGCGATAGCACCGCCTCGGCTGTCGGGCTGCACCTCCACAGGATAAAGAGCGCGGCGAAGAGCGTCTGAGTCGTCAGCTGCATTTTTGCTAGCGCACGCACGACGATCGTCTTTGCGAAGAAGAAAAAATCGACTACTCGATGCTCGTTACACACGCTACACCGTTGATTATACGCGTATATGTAAGCCGCCAAGAGAGGAGAGCTCGAGGAGAGGGATACGCGCAACGAGCTATTGCGAAATCCGCAGCTGCAGCGGCAGCGGTGAATTATTACGTAGGAAGATGTGCCGATCGGCTGCGATCGTAGCAGTAGTAGTGAGCTCGTTGCTGCTTCTTCGACGATGTATCCGATTGATTATCAGATATATGTAAGCGTACATATATGCAATCGCTCATAAATACGTACATATGTGTATGATGCGTATTTGAGTGGATACGCATATATCGGTCAGCGATTGCAAGTAGTTGGATAGTAGTGGCACTTGTTCGTTCGCGTATATATAAAGCACTTCACACCATTTACAAAACTTTCTTGCGACTATTTACAACAACGTTTTTTTTTTGCTTTTTTGCTTTTTTTCGTTGCACTCGCGCACCGCAATCGACAAGTAATAGCGCACTCTCGCGCGGTCGGAGCAGGAAAATCCAAGTGTATAAAAAAAAAAAACACGCACACCACCACTATGTATTTATTACTAACTTCGGCCGCTGTCGTACGACGACTGGCCGTATTATTACTACGCGTGCAGAAACAAGCCGCACAGTCGACACACGTGTGTGCTATATATATACGTACTACACACAACTGCACATATACACGAAGCGCGCCGCGAAGAGCGAGAACTGCAAGCGTAGACTTGAATGGGCAGGAGCTTGTGTTTGCGTGTGTGTCTGACTGACGTGTGCGTGCGAGTGTTGTATATGTGTGTGTAATGCACGCAGAGCGAGAGGACTAGTACAGCACTGATATACACCCGACGATAGTTACGAGTTTAGAGTATACGCGACGAGTCGTCGTCGTAGTAGTAGTAGTATAAGCGACGAGAGGTGAGCGCGCGCAAACGGACGAGCAGTGAATGAACCATCGCAGCCGCGTTATATAGCGTATTATAGTAAGTGAGCGTGTTGGCTTGTGTTGTATATATATAGTGCGCCGCGGTAGAGTAGTGAACGGGCCACTATATAGTATGTACGGCGGAGACTGGACCTTCTCTCTCTCTCTCTCTGTCTCTCGCTCGCTACTTCTCAATGAATGAACGTCTACCCCCTCTGCGGACCGGCTCTCTCTCTGCCGCTGGCTGCGGGCTCCCTCGTCGTATATGCTGGAGCTCTCCGATGCAGCGCGGATATCCCCCTACTACTACTACTACTTGCTACTACTACTAATAATAATACTACTACTACCTTCGATCCTCTCGGCTCTGCATAGATGCACAAAACTTACACCTATATATCTGTCTGTCTCTGTATGTGTGTGTGTGTAACATTGCAAGCAATGCATCTCTAGCAGCAACGGCAACAGATTTATCGATCGCCGATCGCGCGCGGAGCTTCTAAAATAAATAATAAATCAGGCGCCGCGCCGATCGACGAGCAGCAGCAAAAGCCATAAAGATAAACTATCCTGTATATAATATGTTATATAATTTGTACCAAGCCAGATGTGTTTACGCACGCACAGTTTTCTTATCGATACACGTACAGAAGCCCAGGCAGCAGCAGCAGCTATATTTGTTTACTCCCACAGGTGTGATCGGTATATATACGCGCGATACTTTATATTGTACTCGGGTGCGACGCGCTACAGCAGCGACTTATTTATATACGCCTATATATGCAGCTCGCGTAGTATACGTACGTACGTATGTGCGCGAAGGACTTTATTACATTATAAGTACACGATTTAACACAGGTAATACAGCAAAAAAAAGAAAAGAAAAAAAAGGACAGAGCGAAAAGAGAGGGAGAGACGGCGAGCGAGCAAAAAAAAGAAGTCAACGACGCCAGCGAGTCTCTTGCTCGAGCCCCGAGAGTCGACGCGCGCGTAGGCGTATGTATGCAGTGCAATATGTGTATAGGTGTGTGTATATGCACTACACATAATGCACGTGCATGGCATCGCAACGTTAAATCCGGTTGTTTTTACGCGAGCGAAAGACAGCGAGACACAGCCGACAGCTTCGCTACGTACGCAAATTTTTTGGATCCGCAGCTTGTTGCGCAGCTCGTGCACTTCTATTTGGTGGCTGTCTGTCTCTCTGCAGTGATATATGTTCCATGGCTCATACGTTTATCGCGATTTCCCTTTTCCATTTTCGAATTGAAAATAAGTATCGAATATGCATCCATTTTGCGCACAACACCGCTGCGTGTTTGCGCGTCACGTACATCGTAATATAGTCGCGGAAAGCTTCGAGAGAGGAAAATTTATAATGGCTCGTGTAATCGTGTCGGGAGCGCGAGAGAGCAGAGGTTTTTTGTTCCTCTGCTCCTCTCCGCAGATTATCGGCCAACATTTGTGCACGCAGACGCGAATAAGGTGACTGATTCGGTTGAGAATCACTGCTTCATTGATGGAGGCTGTGTGTGCTGTTGATGCTTGCGCTGCTGCTGCTGCTGCTGCTGCTGCTCCATTCACTTCCAGACCCCCATAGCCATACTATGCAGTTAAAGGTGCACACAGACACAAACACGAGTATATTATATGTGTGCATGTATGTGTGTATGCGCGTCCGTGAGCGAGCGAGCGAATCTTTCTCATTCTCCGTGGTAGTACTGTTTTCAAAAAAGAAGTCAAGCTTCTCCCTTTTCTTATTCTGTGCGAGAGATGTAGCATCGCAGTGTATATAAGAGAGCAGAGCAGAGCAAAGCAGCAGCAGCAGCAGCAGCAGAGTGAGAGAGAGAAAGAAAGACAGCAAGAGAAGCGAAAGAAGAAGAAGAAGGGGACAGGTGCGCGCAGGTGCCGCAAGGCGCGACCGGAAGTCCGATTCTACACGTACATGTATATAACGTACATACATACACGCGCAAATATACACACATACTGGACAGACCAAACACATAAAACAGCAGAAAGTCCAAACAAATGAATAAAGTAATGTGTTTACGTAGGCCCGCGCGTATGTACTATTAGGAATAGGATCAGTCAAGATATATATGCATTAAGAGTCAAGTATATGTAAATACGTATACCCACCAAAAAAACGAGCGAGTTTCGGAAAGAAGAAATAATAATTCCCTTTTGGTCATTCTCTTTTGTTAACGTGATTTTTTTGTCTCTGTATTTTCTCCAGGTAAACTGTACGCGGTATTCGGCAGGCGGCAAGGTCGCGTCCTCGGCGCCGATAGCGCTGGCTTCGGCGGCCAGTTTCGGGTGCTGGCCGTGCTGCCCGTCCCGGAGAGCTTTCATCTGGCCAGCGAATTGAGAACGCAAACTTCCGGCCTCGCGAGTCCGCAGCTTGTCTTCAGTCACTGGGAGGTAAGAAAGAAAGAGAATATAACACATTTAAACTTGTATATATCGCGCGATAATATATGACACTTGTAGTGTATCGTTATTATTGTACATACTTCTTTTGTTTCATTCATTCTCGCTCGGATCGCGCGTAAATTAATTACAATCGATGTTCGCGACGAAGCGCGATACACGTGATGCTGTGCCGCTGATTATATCACCGGATATATATCTGCGCGAGTACAAGTACTTGTGCTTCACTCTGAAATCATCGATGTTCGAGAAAAAGGATGACTCTCGTACCAACGCGTACACGTACAGCATTGTAGTTTATACCCTGGAATTGATCGTAATTAGCGCTCGAATGATATATCGTATTCTTTTGTCGCTGTTGCGCGTTGTTGAGAAAAAGAAGTATATGGAAGTAAAGAGGAAAAAAAATTAACAATCATTGAGACGGTCTCTCTCTCGCGCGGGGTCGAGTCATCATCGGCGCAACAATTATGTGCGGATTATTTCTCGTACACTTATTATTACGTATAATATAAAGCGCTCCGGAGGGCTTACAGCAGTGATGCGATGAAATTTTCGTCAATATTGGGTGTGTATAATTTTTTTTTTCCTTTTTTCGTTCGCTCGCTCGTTCGCTCGTTCGTTAACGAGCCTTCCTTCCTGGGAAAAATTCTTTCCGAAAAATCTGGGGGAAAAAAAAGAATCGGGAAGGAGGCGCCACGAGAAGGCGCGTTAAGGAAATTACTTGGCACATTTCGCGATATCCTTATTCTTATTCTCTCTCGTATACACACACAGACGGACACTCAGCAGGTCGTATTGTGATTTCTCGTTAATACATAATTTGTTTACGATCGTCATCATCGGTAGCGTGCAGAGAGCTGCTGCCTATTTATGCGCGGCCGAGGCGTGAGCTAGGCGCGATTAAACACATAACAGGCACAGGGGCGACGGCATAATTCAACAACGACCACATAATAATATATCTCTCACTTTATTGCAATCGTTCGAAATCTATTTAGTATCACACACACACACCTTGTGTGCGTACATACAACAACTTGCCGTTATAATATGTGTATATAAATCCCAACCTCGTCATTTACATAGCAGCGCGAAGTCAGCAGCACGAAGTAGCATTGTGGTGTGGTATAGTGGACGATCATCGACTATACGCGGCCGGAATAAAAAAAATTGCTTAATCGAACACACATAGCCACCCGACTTCTCTCTCTCTATATATAAATACACGTATATTCCTCGAAATGGTTCCTCGTCGGTATATAGACGAGGTACACTTCCGGGCAGCGAGTTCGACGCAACAGCAGCAACAGCAGCGAGATATCGGTGATTGACAGATAATACAATAATATATTCAATTTCCACGGAACCGAAATTGGAATTACATTATCGATTCGCCAATTAACGAGCGCCATCGATGGCGCGACAGCAGCAGGTCACGGTAGTAGTCTCGTAAAATTTTATTTTGGACAATAAAAAAGGATTAATATCGCTGCTATATAGCTGTGATTCTTAACGACATGATTATTCTCACTTCGGGGCGCCTCGTATACACTGTGGCGTTGTGAATTACGCATATGTTCTGGGAAGCATGCTATACACAAGCGATCGTGTCAGTTTCATCATGAATATCATCATCGTCGTCGTCGTCGTCGTCGTCGTCGTCGTGATCGTCACACACCGTGAAGGAAAGGGACACAATAATATAACATATATGTAGGAAGCGAGTGAGAGTTGAGATTCGTGGATCCATCCGCACCTTGCGCTTTGCTTCCGGAAAAAAAAGAACAATAACAAAAAAAAGGAAGAAGAGCACACGACGACACAATGAACAAGTGCCCCACAGAGTGTAAGTACGAAGGTATACGTATGTGCAGGCTCGTGCTCCGATCCGCTGCAGTATGATGCAGCAACAGGTCGGACATATCCCCGAAAAAAAGAGGAAATGCAAACACCGAATTATCGAGTGTACAAGCTCGATGGGTGGTTTATAGTCCGATGCACGTACATGGGCCGCATAATACAATTTTTCGGGAGCCGAGCTGATTTTAACGAGGGCGTGTTCGGACGGGCCTAATCGTTTTCTTCCGATTTTCTCGAGCGGCTCTTCCGGATAAAACCACCTACTTCCGAAAATACTTCCCGAAAAGCTTCATTCATATACGGTTTAATAGGTGTCTAGGCGTGTTTACGAGCCTCTCTCTCTGTCTCTCTCGGGCTATTAAAGTCTAGGCACTTCTTTGTTCCGGACTCGTTCTTTTTCTCTCTCTCTCACTCATCCAACGGTTATACTACTACTCGACGAGAGCACGTACGAGTGTACATATAACGCACAGACAGTCGCGCTTTTCTTCGATTTTTAAGCTCTTATAAAAACGCGCGGACGTACAATGAGTTTACGATAGTTATTATTTACACGATCAGGGCCCCCAGCGTGTGTTAGCCATGTGCTTCTGTATTTTCTTTCGGATGAAAAATTTCGCTAGTTATTCGGACGCTTCGAACACTCAACGACGCGCATTGTTATTCGCGCGCGCATACATACATATAGCTACATCATTATTTGTGATGGCTGCTGCTGCTGCTGCTGTCGCGCTTTAAGCGAGAGAACGCACATAAACATTCCTAGGAGAGAAGCCCCCAAGTGTGGCGCCTTTGAGCCGGCGCACCAAGAATTACACCGCGCGCGCGTCTCGCCAATAATAAAAAAAAAGGAAAAAAAATAAAAAAACACGAGAGGCTATTATGAGGCCAGCATGATTAATGCGCGGATGCTGCTGCTGCTGCTGCTGCTGGATTGAAGTGGCGAGAAAATTTTCAATTTATGTAATAAATGGACAGGTGCGCGCACGCGTACACAACACGGCACAGCACATCGCGAATATAAAAGAAAAATGTTATGTATATTATGAGCGAAGAAAAAAAGAAACGGCGACAACGCGAAGTTTAAGAATCTGTGTAGAGTACAGAGAGCAGCACACACAAGTACAAAGGTGACATGGATTTAGCAAAAAAAAAAAAAAGAAGTAATAGCCAGTAGCAGCAGCTTACTTATACTTCCTGTAAACAAGGAGAATGGAGAAGAAGCGAGAGAGAGAGAGAAAATATCGTATAAAAAAGCTCGATTCAGCAGCAGCAGCAGCAGCAGGCAGTGTTTGGTACGTATTTATGTGTTTGCGCGCGAGGTAGTCTGTGCTGCTGCTGCTGCTGCTGCTGCATGTGTGTTTGCGCGCGTATTACAGAGCAGCATATCAGCTGCTGTTCTTTTTTCCCATGCACAGCTCTGCACTTCCTACTCTCATTTCCGAAGTGGATATGTGCGTACACACAAGCTCTCGCCAACGCATACACACATACATGCGTACACACGTACACACGTGAGCGGAGTAGTAGGTAGTAGCCCAGTGTCATCAAATAACAATTATGCAGGCCTCGCGCGTAATGATGGAGGTAGCAGTACAGCCCACGAACGACGAACGAACGATGATTCGAGTCAAAATGAGGCGCGCGGCCTTAACGCCCAGCTGAAAACATAAACAAACGAGGTAAAAGCAGCGAAAAAAAGGAAAGACGAAGAAGAATTAACGTCGACGACTGCGGACTCACGACTACGGAGCAAAAAAAAAGAGGCCAGCAGCCGTCTGGGCTGGCGCGCGATGGTGCATCTCGCCTTTTCGCTCGCTCGCTTATATGCGTATTATAAAGAGGCGATGTGTATAGGAGGTACTTTTGGCTTCTGGGAATCTTAGGGCAGGTGCACGCCTCTGCTGCGCTGCGCTGAGCACTCACGAAAGCGTATATATTTCAGCAGCAGCAGCAGCCGTTAGGATCCATGAGAAAATTTTTCTTCTCCACGTGCACGGACGTTATGCGTATATATAATAATATAATACGCACGCTGACATGGGCATATATACGCACACAGCACACACTCGAAGGGACCCGCAAGTGGTGCTAAAAAGCACGCCTGCGACGATTTTACACCCTCGCACGAGCATCAGCAGCACAGGCCAATGAATATTAGGTGGTATATCACATAGCAGCCACTTGAGATGCAGCGATCTCCCATAGTGTATATAGTGCGGAGCACTCGACGACGAGCCATCTCGAGTGTGCGGTTATTGCCTTGGTTTACGCTGCTCCTGCTGCTTCGCGTCAAACCGAGATATCCGGAATTCCTTACCCGTTTGCATATAATATCGAGGCAATCGGATTGAAATTTATTGGCCATTTAAATCCGAGATCGAGAGGAAATTCGTTTTTTGTCGATGACGACCTTGACGGCGCGATGAGAGAGACAAACCATTTCTATGGGAAAGTAAGTTTTTCTCTCTTCCGCGTTCATTAAGTATATGTACACACGCACAAAGGCGCGAGATCTCTTTTCACATGCACATTCGAAAGAATATGGGTGACTTTTTAATTGGCCCTCATTGAGGCCGCCCGCGAAGATGTAAGGCAGACGCACCGGTTTTATAATACCGCACCGATGATTTTTAGTTCCGGCGCTACACTATGACGAAGGAAGAAAATCATTCATTAGCCCCGGCCCGCGGAGCCTCTAATGAGGCTCTCGATATACGTACATGTCGATGACGTCTCGAAATAAGAAAAAAAAAGGAAAGAAATGTATTTTAATGCGCGGCTGATCTATGAATAGAGCCGCTACTAATAATTCTGCCGCCGCTGCTGCTGGTTCTTCTGGTTACGTCAACTCGCGATACTTTCATTTTATTATTACTCCGAGTACGTATATATGTATACGAGAAATTACCTTCGTTCAACGTACTTTTCTCTCAATCTTTCGGTTTGCCTTTTTATTCTTGTTTATACATGTGCATATATAGCATATATAGGAATAGACACGTGTGCGCGCACAGACCAGCGGCTCCTGCGGTGCACACTCAACCACCGCAGAAACCGCAGCGATACTTTATTCGCCGCCGCAAATACATGTCTGCTCTGCCCTGCGTACATATGCAATATTATATACACACGGACGTACGTACAAACACATATATGTAGGAACACAACGGGAGGGTAAAAAAGAGCAGCGCGACGGCGATGTACTTGAATTGTAGTCAGCCAGAGAGATAAAGAAGAAGAAAGGGGGTGAAGCTCGACGCGAAAACATAAAGTTTGAAGCGCGAGATAACGCGAAGGTGTTAAAGCAGAGAGAAAGAGTAGAGGAGAGCGTAAGAACCCGACGAGCCGAGCGATGCGGAATGAGGATCGAGAGGAATAGAGAGAGAGAGAGGATAGGAGGATGAAGATGAAAATGAAAACGAAAAAAAAGCAAGACGGCAGCAGCCACGACGACGACGACGACGATGATGATGATGATGAACGAAGGAAGCGAGAATGCGAGAAAGGAAGAAGGGCCTCCTAATTCTACTACTGCTACCGGCTTACGCAAGTTGCTGCTGCCGCTGCTGGCTTTTTTTCACTCGGGCAATATAATACCTCTCTCTCTCTCTCTCTGTCTGCTGCTGCTTCTTCTACCCAGACCTTTCATTCGCAAAATTCCGGTAGCGCGCGCGCGCGCGAGCTTTGGAATTATCTTTCTCTGCCCATCGCGCGAGATACATCTTAAAGTTGTTTCCTTTTTTTTTCTCTCTTTTTCCTTTACCTTTTTTCCTTTTTTTTTCTTCTTCCTTTTCTTTTTTCGGAGGCAAGAGGCTTTATACCCTTCGCGCGCGCGTTGGTTGGGCGCAGAGCAGAGCAGAGGCGTACGCTGCGCGCGAGTCAGTGTCTGAAGAAGCGCGGACGAAAAAATAATTTACATTTTTACGAGCAGCATCCGCGCGCGTGCTTGCTATATAGTGCTTGCGTGTATGTATATATGGTATAAATATAAATATAGATGAACATTTTTGCCCGAAGGCGCACTAATTGGCCCTATATACTCTGCTGCTGCTGCTGCTGGCCGTATTATAATATACCGATTTCCTGTTGATGTTTTTTCTTCTCTTCCACCACGCGCTCCAGCGGCAGCAGCAGCTTTTTTCTTCCCTTTTTCATCTCTCGACTGCGGCTCGCTTGGCTCGCTTCAGCCGCGATTTCTGATTTAAGCATTCGATTTCACAGAAATTTCATTTCGATATTAGCTTCTGTATTATATATTATAATATATAGATGCCACACGTATACGTATCCTTGTGCGAGTGTTAGTTGCCTTTTTTTTTCTTATTACTTTTTTATAATTATCTGCAATTTTAGGATTTGCTTCTTTTTTTTTCTCTTCGTGTTGCGTCGATTCGGAAAGAAAAGAAGCTCTCGCGTAAAAAAAAAGGAGTAAAAACGCATATATCTCGCCCGTTCACGTTGCCAATAATAAAGACTCTCTTCTTCTTCTCTCTTTCTGCGCACGAGTCTGGGTGTATTGTGTGTTGACTATAATTGACCGTAGCTCTCGAACTATCTTGACTCTTATGCACGAAGTCAAAAAAGCAACGAAAAAAAAGGAAACAACTTCAATCTTACGAGTTTGGCTTCCATAATCTCTCGCGCGCGCTACCTTGTACGCTATATATTACGAACACTGCAGCGCACAGATTTGTTGTTTTCATCTGGATAATAGGAGGAAACATTTTTAATATTCTCTCGTGTCTGTGTTCGTTTTTATTTTCATTTTTTTTTAGCTCTTTTAATTTGTTGTAATACTTGTATATCCTGTGTGCCTCGACATTGAAAGATTAACGATCGTTTCTCGTGAGTGGCTTATTTAAATTCAAAAAAACAAGATTGCGTGCGTCTATTTTTTTTCTAATGACCTATTGACTGGCATATACATAACGACGACGACGACGACGACGACGACGACCAAACTCGATTTTACTAGGAATTTCACGTCGCTCCAAAAGAGATAACCCGTTCATTGTTTACATCCAAGCGAGCTAGTTAACAATATACCTATATACCTTGCGAGCACCGGTCGTCAATGAGCAATTTTTCGTTCTCTTATCGCTGTACACGTGAAAGTTTGTCGCGCGCGTCAAGGAAGGAAATGAAAAAAAAACCATAACAAATTTCGACAGATCGGAAGTATCGAATAACTGCACTTCAGCTTTCGGTCGCCTTTCGCGCGCTTATTATGCACCGGCGCATATAAATTTATCAAACGAGTATAAATTCAAATGCAGTTGTCATCTATATTACTTCCCCAAAAAAAGTCCGCGCGCAGACGTTAGCTCGAAATTTCTGGTTTTTCAGATTTCCCTTATACCGCTGCTGCTCCCGCGTAAAAATTGCCCAAGCAACGCGCGTGTGTCTCTGTGTGTGTACCGCTTAAACGAAAGAGGAAATGGGTGTATGCTCAAAAATCAAGGGAAAAAAGAGAGAATATGGCCAAGGAAAGAGAGAGAGAGAGAGAAAAAAAAACTCGCACTAGTCCATCTCGCTTACTTCCTTTTGGAATCGCGACCTCCTTTTCCCTCGCAAACAAACAAAGAAATGATTTTTTCAAACGTATTATATAAAACTTTCGTCATATCATTGTGAAAAAAAGGAAACTTTTGTTTCTTTGAAAATCAGCGACGAACCGCGGGCTCGCGCGGGAAACTGTCATAATTTCCTTTGTATAGCATTTTCGCATATTTACTGATAGAAAGTCTATTGCCCTGGAAAGGATGTACATTAATGCATCAACGAGGAAGCCGGTAAAATTTGGATTGATGCGCACACGACGCGCATCGTTTAGATCTATGAACTTTTATTACGGGAGACTTGTGATTTTGTATTTTTTCGTTTTTTTTTTCAAAGCCCATCATCATCGATCGGGGCTTCTTTTAACTCTCACACGGTAATCGCATGTCCACTCACTCGCTCTCTCTTACTGTGTTGCAGGTAATCGAGCAAGATCCATTTTGGGTGCCTTCGACCGAGGAGGAGTATCTTCATTTTGGAGTGAAGGCTGACAGCGGAAATCGAGCCAAAAAGTACATCGATGCTGTTAGACGCAGGAAAGGACTTCCGGTCGATTCCCAACTTGTCACACACGCCGAGAAGCAGCGCACTTTGTCGAAAAATAAATAAAGACAAGGCTCTTTATTGCATATGTAAACGCGTATTTTTCTCACCTTTTTTGGGAAATAAAACTGATACGCTGTAATAATAAATGTTTTTTTTTTAAGTATGCACTGAGCTGGCATACGTTCTCGCATTGGCGAAATAAAATGTTGACTAATATTTAAAAAAAAAAATGTTTCATTTTTATTTGATATAAAAATTAAAAACATATACATGTGAATTGATCATGTAACAATAATTTTTATTTACCATTATTACTTGCAATTAACTCAATATAGGCACTATTGAGTTAACCAGTCTATAAAATTGAAAAATCTATATTGACTATTTTATCCTACACTAGGTTAAACTTTGATTCTGTTTACTCCTACTAAGTACGAGCTGTGATTTGTCTAATTAAAATACATTGAAGCTAAGCAACCTGTATTTAGAATGATCAGACAGAGTCAAAGTTCAACCTAGTGTAATTAATTATTAATATACATATTCTATTTACATATACCACTTATACATTTTCTTCGATTAATCATCAAATACTATCTTTTTCCCTTGGAAACCCATTTTCATGGCCTCTTGTTGTTTCTTTTTGGCTTCCCACGATGGATGCAATACTTGAGGTGTTGCATTTTTATTAGGTGCACTATTTGAAAACTTCGATTTAGCATCCTTTTTATCATTGAATCTATTATTGTCCTTATTAGAGTCTTTGCTGTTAAAATCTTTCTTTTTATTGAAATCTGGCTTACTATTGAAACCTTGCTTATTATTAAAGCCTTGTCTGTCATTACTTCTAGGAGTAAAGCCTTGTCTGTCATTACTTCTGGGAGTAAAATCTTTTTCTTTGTTAAAGTTATTTCTGGGAGGGAATTCTTTTTCTTTGTTAAAGTTATTTTTGTTATTGAAGTTTCTTCTATCATCAAAACTATTTTTATTGTTAAAGTTTCTTCTGTCATCGAAACTATTTTTGTTGTTGAAGTTTCTCTTGTTGTCAAAACTATTTTTATTGTTAAAGTTTCTTTTGTTGTCAAAACTATTTTTATTGTTAAAGTTTTTCCTGTCATCATAACTATTTTGATTGTTAAAATTCTTCTTGCCATTAAAGCCTTGTTTCTGATCAAAATCCTTTTTAATGGTGACATTTTTATCATCGTTACCTTGTTCTAAAGCTTCTCTATCCCTAGCATTCTGTCTCCGAGTTCGTCTATTACATCCAAAATCATCTGGATTAAATTTAGGTCTTTTGCTAAAGCCGCCTTCGTCCTCGTCACTATTGAAAGGTCTTTTATTATAATTACTTTTATTTTCATTATCATCTTCATCATTTTGGTTTGATTGAAGACTTGGTCTAACCATGGTCATTAGCGGCTGATCATCTTCAGTTACAAAGAAGGGATCAATTTCTCTTGTAACTACGACATTAGCTTCAATTTCATTTGCATTTATTTCATCATCAATTTCGAATGGAAACTCATCTTCATTATTTTTATTTTGATTATCTTTCTTCAAATAATCTGTTTTGGAAACAGGATGTTGAGTATTTTTCTTTTCTTTTACGGACTGTTTCTTCATCACTTTAATATTTGAAGTCTTTTTTGAATTATTTGATTTTTCAAGTTTTACTGTTGAAATATTGACATTTTCTTCTTCACTTTCAGATTCACTTTGACAGTCATTAGAAATATCTTTATCATCAACATTGCTCATATCATTTTCAGAAACATCATCATCATCCTCATCATCATCAGCAACATCATCACTATCATCATTAGCAACATCATCACTATCATCGTCTACAACATTATCACTATCATCATCATCACTATTATCAATTTCACTATCTAATTTTTTGTTGGATACTTTCTTATTAATAACATTTTTTAATGCAGCTTCAGATACAGAAAATTCTTCTCCATCCAACTCATCACTTGATTTTTCATCTGGTTTATCTCCAGAATCTTTTAAATTCTTTAGAACATTTTTCAGTGCAACTTCAGATACAGAAAAGTCAATGTTGTCACCATTGTCACCATTTTCACTGTTGTCATCATTGTCATCATTATCACTTGATTCATCATCTGTAAAAACACAAACTGTGGGATCAGCCTGTTGATCGTCGTTGTCTACTTCTTTGGCAAGCTTTTTTCCTTTAGTGTCATTACTCGTGACATTTCCTGTTTGCTCTGAATTCTCATTATCTTTCAATTTGCTCTCTTTCAATTTTTCTTTGCTCTCTTTTAGTTTTTCTTTGCGCTCTAATATCTGTTTCTTCTTTCTACCAGGTCCTAAGAATTCTTTATAATTAGGATATTTTTCTTTGAATTCTGCAATTTTTTTAGAGAACGTTTTGTGAAATGCAATTCTAGTCATCATACGCTTTACAGGCTCTGATTGTGTATTTTCAAGAACATCTTTGAGAGACAAATCATTAGTCAAGGCATGAATTGTTATTTCGTCTTTCTTAACTTTTTTAATAGCAAGTATCTCAGCTGCTAGCCTGTCTGCTTTACGCAAGTTCTTGGCTTTCTGCTCTTCTGTTCCTTTCTTTTGCCTTAATTTTTGAGCATCCCTGGTGAGTTTTTTTATGAGTTGAACTTTGGCCTGTTCAACGCCTTTTCTCAGAAGAATAATCTGAAAATTAAATATTTTTATTTATTTACAAGGTTAACCTCAAATGTGTTCATCCTGAATGAAAACCTCACGCATGTGAGTTCATAACCGATGGATTAACAGAAAAAATAGTTTATTATTACCTCGTTATTGATGGCAGCCTTACTCATGTTGAAAATTTCACGTAAATAATAAGATGTTACGAGTTCCAATGAGCTGTGTAAAACAGCAACACAAATTTCACGTGTTCGCGACAGCCGACAGTCAACAGATTGGAACGACTCGGTTTTGTAGTCTGCTACCGAGTGGCGTCGCTACCGTCCACTCCTAATAATGCAGTCATGCATGATGCAAGCGACTGTCACAACTCGCGCAGATGTCAAATATACCAACAGAGCACAGAGCGCTTTGAATCGAATAAGACAGACAGAAATTCGTTGATGTTTTTTAACACCTTTAAATTTAAAATTCTAGTATTTCGTAATTTTCTTCGAGCCGAAGCGAAGGATTACTCGAGCATACGAGACTGTCGGTTCAACCGAATCCAAGAGTGGTAATTTTACAGTACGACTACGCGTTACGTGCCCAGCTGCAAAAAAATGCCGCAAACAAGAAACTGCAATATTGATAACGGAATTAGAATAAGCGGTGGAAATTGCGCGACGCAGGCGCACGAGCATATCATCATCCTCCAACGCAGCGCACAATCCGTCTGCATTGACCGAGACTGTCTGACGCAGGCCGTGCAGCAGCAGCAGCTATCGAGCCAGTCGAGCAGGGGAGCAGATCAGTAGGTCGCGCAAGGAGGTCCGCAAAAAATTCAAGAGGCTTCCGAACGACAATAATACATAGTTTGACAGATATCACTGTATACAACACTCGCACGGATATACGTAATTCAAGTGCTGCTTATATTTTTGCTACAATATACCCCTTGCAGTCAATTCGGTATAAAGCGCTGCTCGCACAGCGGCCGATCCGATGTTTTTTTCTGCGCGTATGTTTACTCACGCACGTCAACGCAGTTAAGTTCGTCGCGCGGACGATCTCATCATCGTCATCACACAAGTTATAGCTTATACGAACAGTTGATCGTTCGATTGAAAGTACATACAAGTATAAATTGACGCCGCAGCTACAGACGCCAATTATTTACTCCAAAGAAAGAAACAAAGGTAACGCTGTTTTCACTGCTTTTTTTTCCTCCTCCTCGCGCTTGTCAGGGCTGCAGCGCGCGCGTAAAGTGGGTCGGCTCGGACGACGTGATAAATGCAGTGCGCGAAGCGGTGTTATAACATCGCAATTTCGACGATTCGTCCGAATGTGTCTCTCGAACAATGATAATAATTGCGACCATAAACAGATGCAACAGAAGTTGCAACGAGAAAAGAAATTCAAACTTGCTTATTGCGCCGTTTCGTGACTCGGATCACGTACATCTATATTACGCACGGCCCACACACGGGTCTCGTTTTTTTCTTTTTATCAATCATCGAATCTTCTCCTCCGCCTATATAGTTCAGCCTTGAATTTGCAATCGCTAAAAGTGCACACAGCGCACACAGAGTCTATCGCTGTTATATGTGTGTGTGTGTGTGTGTGTGTGTGTGTGTGTGTGTGTGTGTGTGTGTGTGTGTAGGTATATATAATATAAATGCGCGGATGATAACGAGCTAGCAGAACTGCGAGAGAGATAGATAGAGAATACGGAGTCCGGAGTCGGCAGCTCGTATCGTCGTCATCATCGCGTTACATATACATATGCGCGAGTTATACTTATGATACGTCGACTCAGCCATTGCAGCGCATTATAATTCTCTCTTTTTTTTCTTCTTTTTTTTCGCCAAGGCACATAAACATTGAGACTGTGTGTGACCTGGCCTGCTGTGCTCCGAGCGCTGCGCGTGTCGTTGCAGTTGCCTGTCGTTGTAGCAGTAGAATCAGTAGCAGCTGAGAGCCGAGCGAGCTCGCGTTACACATTTCGCCACGCGCATAATAGGATTGCGTATAATTGTGTGTTGTATATAAACACAAGGAGCTGCGACGACGACGACACTCACCTAGCTCCCAAGAGTTATATAGTCTTTCTGCGTCGTGACTTTGCTTGTTTAAAAATATACACGTTCATCTGCATCCCGAGTGTATAAAAACGTATGTATACGTTTACAATATGCGCTCATCTGATCTCTATATGCTCTCTCTCTCTCTCTGCTCCGAAATGAAAATTCGTGTGTGTGTGCAGTGTGCACTACTCTACTGCTTTGTGTATACCTGTATATTTTTATTTAGCGCTGATCATAACCTAGCCACACACACACTGGGTAATACCGACGACTATGTAGGGGGAGATCGATTATCAAGCGATCGATTATTTTTGCATCATCACACGCACACACACAATCGGCTTCCGACATTTTTTTTTGCTTTATTGACGTTTTGTAAATTCCAAGAGTGCTGCCGCTGCCGCGTACGGACCTTGTTTCAATTTTGACTTATCCTAACTACTATAAGTGACGTTGCCGGGGACACACGACGATATTGCAAAATTCATCGTATATGCGTGTGCGTTCGAGTCTCAAATATTGCAAGTTGTCACTTGACCTTGCGTTTTTCGCTCTCGTTTCTTGCTTTGACACATTGTAAACACTCATTAATGCTCGCGCGAATCTAATGTTGCAGATCTTCGACTCCTCATCAGTCTGGATAATTTTGCCCGTGTGAATTTTTATTCAAATTGAAATCAATATGAGCTCCGTAAGATGCTGCCTAATTGGTGCAACTCGACTGGCTACCTCAAATCATGTCTCTAATCATGGTGAGTAGACGATTCAAATTGATAATCCTTCATTCAATGCCCCCATTCTATTCTCTTTATTCCTAATGATTTGTCTCACTAATACAATTTTTGTAATATTATGTTCCAGTACACAAAATTGTTAGAATTGTGGCCCCTCGAACAATTTCTACTTCTGGAATAAGAGCTAAAGCTCCCATTGATCCTACACCTCCTAGCAATGAAACAACTGGGAGCAGCGCAGCTGCTGGTGGAACAACAAGTGGCAGTGGTGGAGATAAAAAAAATAATCTCATTTGTCCAAAGTGTGGAGATCCTTGTACGCATGTTGAAACATTCGTCTGTAAGTTTGTCATTCATTTTTTATTTTTTCTTAACAAGTTGAAAAGTAAATCTAAACACTGTTTCATAATTTTAGCTTCAACCAGATTTGTCAAATGTGAAAAATGCCATCACTTCTTTGTTGTTCTGTCTGAAATTGACTCTAAAAGAAGTATCAAAGAAGCTCTTAGACCAGAAGATACTAAACAAGGATTCTACAGAAAACCACCTCCACCTCCTAAAAAAGTAAGTCTATAGTCTACAATTCCTTTTTTTTAAGAATTTATCTAATTATTCTTTACAGATTTTTGAGTACCTAAACAAACATGTTGTTGGACAAGAATATGCTAAAAAAGTCCTCAGTGTTGCTGTTTACAATCACTACAAGAGAATTCATAACAACTTACCGCTTCAAAATGCAGTGCAAAACAATGCAGCTCCAGTATCAAATCAGGATTTAAATCATCCTTTTACTCACAGAGGTCTCAAGCCACGTAATACAATTTTAGTAATTTTCCCTCTGAAGAATTTTTTGTTTTTCAAATCTTATTATCCCAAAATATTATTTATTATTTAAGTCTATTTGAAAAAATTCTGTAACTAAATATTTGCTCTTTCAACAGATCTTCTTCATATTTCAAGTATTGGAAATTCTTTGGGTGTTGGATTCCAACAAGTTCCACCAACAAATGAACAGCAACAACAAAAGCCACCTCCTGGCTCACAGACAGTTCCCGGCTCAGATATTTTAGACAGCAAGCATCATCAATTAAAATTAGAAAAGAGTAATATTTTATTGCTTGGACCCACAGGTTCTGGAAAAACTTTGCTTGCTCAAACTATAGCTCAGTGTTTGGATGTTCCATTCGCTATTTGTGATTGTACTACATTAACTCAAGCAGGGTACGTGGGAGAAGACATTGAGAGTGTCATAGCTAAATTACTTCAAGATGCCAATTATGTCGTTGATCGAGCACAAATGGGTATTGTTTTCTTAGACGAAGTTGACAAGATTGGAGCCGTGCCAGGAATACATCAATTGCGTGACGTTGGTGGTGAAGGTGTTCAACAGGGAATGTTGAAAATGTTAGAAGGCACCATTGTTAATGTTCCAGAAAGAAATAGTTCTAGAAAGCTTAGAGGCGACACTTTGCAAGTAGATACTACAAACATCTTGTTTGTAGCATCAGGTGCTTATAATGGGTTAGATCGATTAGTTTCAAGAAGAAAGAATGAAAAGTATCTTGGTTTTGGAGCAACTCCATCATCAGAAAGTCCAGGAAGAAGAGCAGCTAGTTTAGCTGATGTTGCAAATATGTCTCCATCAACTGAAGATGATAATAAAGAAAAAGACGTTTTACTCCGCCAAGTTGAAGCAAGAGACCTTATTGACTTTGGTATGATTCCAGAATTCGTTGGTAGATTTCCTGTTCTTGTACCCTTCCATACTTTGAGTAGAGAAATGCTGGTGAGAATTTTAACGGAACCCAAAAATGCCATGGTACCTCAATATCAAATGTTATTTTCTATGGATAAGGTGAGCAATTTCATTCAGTTTTACAAATTATTTTTTTTATATGAAAATTCTAAATTGAAAATCATTTCAGGTTGAATTAACTTTTACTCCTGAAGCACTGGATGCCATTGCATCACTGGCAATGGAAAGAAAAACTGGAGCAAGAGGTTTGAGGGCCATAATGGAATCTCTTTTGCTTGAGCCAATGTTTGATGTTCCAGGTAGTGATGTAGTAACTGTACATGTAACTGAAGGCTGTGTTCAAGGTATCGATAAACCTGAATACATCAAAAGAAGTGGCGAAACTGTTGTTGAAGATGAATTACAACAAGCACAGCAGGTTCAAAATTAACGTAACATGAAAGTGAAAAGGAGGTATGCTGATGTGTGCTAATTTCATAATAAATAAAAAGAACTTTTCAATTGTAACAAGAACTCACTGGTAGTTCGGCCAACAATTTTCAAATAATATTTACGTGGGTGTGATTTGCGTATGAATGACATGTGTTTTAGAGATTTAAGTTTTATCCTCTCATACGAAAAATTTAAAAGTTGGATATTTCGGTGGAGTACTGCAATTAATAAGAAAGATCTCTTGATGAGATAGCCAGTTCAAAACTGATTACTTCTTAATTTTTGTTTGTACTGTTTTTATATAACTTGAATTGGGGTTGTTCAATGATTTAAACATATATGCTAGACATGTTTTATTGATTTACGCCATGAAATGTCGGTGCGTCGAATCAAATTTTAAAGATAAATAATTTCAAACTCAACTTTGTGTAAAGTTATAAAAAATCTTTTTCGTGCAACCTCGAGTAGATAGGTAAAGATTATTTGTATTATATTGTACATAGCCGTAGATAAGTAATGAGACGTTTGGAAAATTATAAATTTGTCAACACCTTCGTAACGACATCTTCAAAATTATTAAGTTGATTGTTCGTGAAAGTTTATTGAAAACAAAAAAAAAATTATAAGGAAAAAATCATCACAAAATGAAGAAAAAAAAACGAAGAGACAGTGTCTCAGAGCCAATCCCGTTTTTTTCAGATGAAGCTTAAATCCAAATCCAATTAGGCTCTGTAATGCTGTAAATTCAAAGTTGATCAATCTTTTGAAATATTATAGCTAATTTATATTATACGAATAAATATATTTGTAATAAATTCACTGAAAATATTAACAAGAGTCTTTTATTTCAACAATTATTTATAGTATATATTATACATTTTAAGAAAATTACCTCAAGACTTATTTCAGAGAACAGAGGTGATAGATACATGTATTATTTACATAATTTACGACTAGTTATAAATAATTATTCAAAAAACTAGTTATTATTGAGTGCATTATTTTGAATTTCCAAAAATTAATTCTACAGTATGTACAAAAAATTATTAAAATTTGTAAAATTTTCGATTTACATCATTTTAGGAGGTTTGCTAAGCAAAAGTAAAAATCAAATTTCATAATTAATGTTAGTCAATATTCAAATTATATCTCATTGTAGTAAGGCGGAGGGGGTTGTTTTACTGATTTTGGTTTTGGCGCTGGTCTTAGCATTGGGCCCAGTTCTGTTAAAACCCATTTAGTAGCTTTTAAAACCATAATATGCACAGCAAACTGCATTACTAACGCTCCAAATCCCTTATAAAATCCAAATGGGCCTTCAGTACTTAAGATACTTTTATAACAATCCACTGCTCCACTATAAGCTGTTCCTAGTGCAATAACACTACACCCAGTATCTAAATTATCTACAATAGTGCGTGTTCCTTGCAAATGTAATCTCTGAATAACCGTTTCAACTGGATAAAAAACAATATCTGCTGTAAACATTGAGATTAAAACAGCCTGTATTTCAATATCTTGAGCTGTGGATTCAGATATTATTTCTCTGCTATAAGCTCCCTAAAAAAATTTAATTTTTATTTTAAATATGTAAAATTTGAAAGTTGAAGGATACTCATTTCACATTCATGCTATGAAGTTTCTTATCACATTCAAAAAAGCTTTTTCACTGTTTTTATTAAAGATAAATAAACTTACTCTTATTTCTTGAGAATATTTGTGTCTTGTTCTCATAATATGGCTAGCTACAGTTTTAACTGAAATAGCAAAAAGATATTTTGCGATGCCACAGGCCACAGTGGGAGGTATTAGTGCGTAAATTGGAATAAGCCTGCCTTTAGTTCCAACTTCAAGTAACCTGATAGCTCCATCCCGGAATACATCCAAGACTCCTGGTCTTTCGGATGCCACTTCAGACTGAACAGTTTCAATTAAAGAAGCTGAATAGAAAGGTGTGACAATAGCAATCGATGCAGCTTTTAAAAGTAGATGTTGTCCAATCTGTTTGAACGATAAATGACTGATTTCCCTGTCAAACCATAATTTTCAAGAATAAGAAAACAGCTCAAATGTAAAATGTTGTAAAGTAGAAATAGAACATACTTTGGCCAAGGGGTAACTTTAGAGACTAAATCTTCAACAGCTAGAGTCAATCCTCTAACTATCAAGACAGAACCTATACCCTTCCAGAGGGTATTTAATCCTTGCGTCTGATGAAGCCTCATCATGACTGGAATGAGGGTGATGGGTATAACGTGATACTTCTTTGACACTGGATTTACCTGGCATTGTCGTCTCAGCACGAGAAACGGATGTATCAACAAATTTTCTGTTATTAAACTTGCCAGGCCACATCCCCTACCGATATAATGTTTGACAACTTCGTCTAAAGTTAAAAAGTATTAAGGTGAATTTTTTAATTCTCTCTTTGAAACGAGAATGTTCGAATATATACCATTATCAGGTGGATTATCATCAACGAGTGGATGATAATTTGGTACCTCGAGAGGTTGTATAACCTCGCGTCCACGATAGACACTGGGATAACCCGAGTACGGGTAAGGGTGACCTCCAGCCGCTGCCTCTCCGCTTTCCCAGGCCAAATTCGAGGGCACGGCTCGCCGATTCAATTCGCGATAGTTTAAATCACCCATGACAATGATCGAAGTTTCAAACACACATCAACGACGACAGACGACGACCCACGGTCAATAATAACTACTTGTCGCAGCAGCAGCCGACGCGTTCATTTTTCAAACTAACTTGCACAAGCTCGAAGTAGTACAACCCTTGGCTCTCACATTTGTGTGTCGGAAATCGGAACTCGCGAGCTTATTATACAGTGTGCGGGTACACCCATGTGACAACTTTGACGCACCGAGACTGGACAGAAATTGCGCAGTCGTGAGTCACTTGGCATTGCAAAGAGCTATACGATAATATTTTAAGCCCAAAATTTATTTAAATTGACAAATAAAAGATAGAACGATGGTGATATTCACATTATATGGTTTTTTATAACATTTTTTTAGGGTTGGTGATTGAAATGAAAAAATGACGAGGAACGTTTTATGTACAAAAATGATTATATAATTATCTAAAAACATACATCTATCATTTTCAGGTTTCTACTTTTAAAAAGTAAGCACTAACATATTAACGGTTTTACAAAATAGTTATGGACTTATATACATTTCCTATGATTTAAAGCATTCGCCTAATCAGTTCGTTAATTTGATCCTCACGATTACCATAGTCTCCACTTTTGGTAAAAGGCAAAGTTTTTTTGCGCCAACCTCCATTTGGATTATTAAGCTGCAAAGTAATTCAAACTATTAGTTGACAAATTACAATAAAAGGATTCAATATATTTTAATATTTGAAGATAGATTGTGCAAGAATGATCATTTTCAAAACTTTATGACTGTAGTGAAGTACATGTTCATTCTTTTCTTACTCTTTGATACTGTGAGAAGTAACAAAAATTTGTATATTTATGCTACTATGCCAGTATCACGACTTTTACAACGTTCAAAATTTAAAACAAAAAATAAAAATAAAATATAAAAATAGTTTACCTTGAATGGCCGCAAGAAGCCAGTTGCATGATTGAATTTTTCACCACATGTGAAGATTTCGTGAATCAAATCTTCAAAGCAAATTATATTTTTATCACCTATAAAAAATGAAAAGTATGATTAGAATTTGATCAATGATAATTTAAATATATGCTTGAAAATGAATTAAAATTTTGTCTGATTATTTTACTAATAAACAGTTTATATCTACTGTCTTGAAGTAAAATTCTCAAATAATACTTTTAGACGATATGGAAGGACAGATGAAATGGTATTTTCAAATGACCATGGAGTCGTCTCCTTTTAGTTAATTTAATCCTATCAAACTATAAAACAAACCTAATTCTTTTTCTATCATGGCATTTCCAGTGATTGGAACTCTTTCTTTGTTTATATTAGCAAATCCACGTTTCTGTACAAGTTCCCTCACTGACTTAAGGTTGGGGTATCCCCAAGTGATGTATGGATCAACAACATCGAGCATGGCTCTTGTGGCTTCATTCAATTTTAAGAATATTCCAGTATTTGTTTGCTTCAAACGTAACAACTGGAATACTTTCTTCACTTTAGGTGAGACTTGGTTTGTACTTCTGATACGAATAACAAAGGCAATTTTCGATTCGTTATTTTTAGGAACTTCAGTCGTCAAACCAGTTTTTTTGGTATGTCTGATTATCCTCAAATTATCTCTCTGTTTTAAACGATGTTCTTTTACAAATTGTTCAGCCGTCTTTAAGGTTTGTCTTCTCTTTTTAGCCTGGTCTGCTTTCCTCTGGAATAACATAAAATAAAAATGAATTATGCAGTTCATTCTATCAAATGATCATAAAATTATTTTGTAAATAATACCTTAATGGTCACTTGTAGACGATGGGCTTGAGATGCCTGACGATTTTTTCTTCTTTTGAGTACTGACTCAGGAACCGAAGGAAGTTTTCCTGTTAACGGAACCTTGGGCTTATTTTCTTGTCTGTAATTCATGTAAAATGAAAGAATTAAAATCAATTTCGAAAATCACACGTTTTCATTCACAAATAAATACATAAAGAAATTTCCACGTGAAATGTTTTTTTCGAGGTTAGAATGAAAGAAATATTTGTCTAAATTGCTTATGGAAAAATGATTGGTATATAAAAAACTATGTACTTGCAATAATTAATGCACGGATAGATTGCCAATTTATTTACAGCAATAAACAAATTTATTTATCATAAAATTACTCACGTATCCGCCATCGTGTAGAGGTCTGTTGCGAGCACATGTAGCATGTATTCACTCAGCAGTCGACTCAAAACATACGTTCAGCGGCGAGCGGGGACCGGCGGGATTGCGCCACAGCCCACATGGTGGCAGGTTTAAAAATGTCGAATACCTTGTCGAGCTGTTGCTGTTGCTAATGTTTTTTCATCACGTATTTCAATGACATTGAGTCGCTGAGGTTTGCAGTTAAATGAATGAATTCGAAGGAAAAATACTATTTTTATTTCAAAATTTTATTTTAACTTATTAAGAAATTCAAAACTCATTGTACATTTTAATTTCATAATTTTCTATTCTCGAGTCAATAAATCATTAAGTAATCTTGATAATAAGACTTTATATTTGTAACAAGAGATGCATTACAATGTTTCAAATGATACATGATACAATGGAATAAAAATTTAAATGACCTTATCCAACAAGTGCTTCTGATTTTAGCTGTAACTATATTTTTCTTATTTTAAATGTTTATATTTTACTCTAAATAATTATTTTTTAGCTCAATGTTGTCGTTGTATTTAGGCTGCGGCGAAGAAAAATATGCACGCAACCAGTAAATGCTGAATTATTATACTATTTATTTAATGATTCATTGTTTTTCAATGAATCGTAGAATTTATTAAATTATAATATTTTAAACTGTTGTTCATTCTTGACGAATTAGCTTTTCCAAGCTTGAGTTTGTTTTTCATGGAGATTGAAATAATCATTCCTATAAATTTTATTGATTAAAAATCCGACTTTTGAACGCAACATCCTTGTAGGAATCATCAATGAAAGAAATTTTAGTATATCATGCAACCAAAATCCAGTCGTAGAGTTCAATCTTCCAAGAGTCTTCAAAGCGTGTCTGGCATAAGTTTCCGGATCAGGAACGAAATAATATGCTTTCTAGATTAAAAAATAAATTATTTATTTAAATTTGGACTCTATTGTGAATATTAATTTTATTATTCGAAATACTTACTGAAAATTTTTTGCTAAAATTTATCATTTTCGTATTGATGTAAAAAGGCGACAAACATTGAACTGTTATACCATGAGGCGAATATTCTTCGCGTAAGGAATCTGAGAAATATCTGATAAAAATTTTACTGGCGGAGTAAATCGACATCAAAGGTAGAGGCATCATTTCCGAGGCAGAGGACACGTTGACAATGGCTCCGTTACCTCGTTTTTTCATTTGATTAATAAGTAAATGTGTCAGTGACGTTGTTGCGCCGATGTTAATGTTGATAGTATCCCATAAATCAGACTCGGACATTTCACCAAAGTACATTGGATATTCGGTGATAACACCGACATTATTAACTTAAAAATATAATAATTGTTAATCAAAAATTACTTTTATAAACTACGTGGAAAGCTTAAAAATTAAAAGAAGTTCACAATTTTTTTAATCTTCGATTTTAATAATTATAATAAAAAAAAAAAAAGATGTCACGAAGTCAGTGATTTTATAGTTATAAGCTCAATAAAAATTTATTGGAAATTTGTTTGTAATATTTATACGAATAATTAAGTTGATTGAAAACAGGTACGCCACATAACGATATTAAAAGAATTTGATTGTACTCACCGAGTATTGCTACTGGTACATCTTTCAAATGAACTTTAATATCATCTATAACTTTTCTTCCCGTGCTAAAATCTGTTTTGATAATGATCGTTTCAATATCTGGATAAATTTTTTCCAATTCTGCTTTTGTTGCATTTAATTTATCTATATTTCGACTGATCAAAACTATATTCATTTTTTGTTTGGCTAATAGTTTGACGTATTCTTTTCCAATGCCGTCAGTACATCCAGTAACAACTTAAAAAAATATAATACCAAAAAATAAAATATGAAAATTATAATTTATACTTTGTAAATAAAAATGTTTACTACCTGCCCAGTCACCAAATCTAGCTTTCAAATCGATTGGTTTGTAACTCAAGAGATTGATGAAAAATCCGTAGAGTCCGTAAAGAAATTTTAGTATGGGACCCAATGCTAATCCCATCAAAATAAAAAAGATATCTACTAATCTTGCAGACATAATGATCGTGAATACTCTTCAAAATTTTAAATTTTAAACAGTTTTCATGTTCCACTACTCATACGTATAAAACGCTGACTAAACACAATGAAAAATTTGAGTTTTATTTCCTAATTTTCAGCTTGCTAATTAAAGTTTTATATTGAAACGGTAATTTTTAGACGAGCTTATAACCTTACTCTATATGACTTTATATTGGAAGGTCAGAGCATCTGATAAATTTATAACTCCAGTATCAATGAGTCTACTAGCACTCATTTATTTCGCACTTTCACTGGCATAAGAGCAAAAATTGTCAAGTTCAATTTTGTATGATAAAAGAAATCAGTTTGCGATTAAAAATAAAAATCTACATTTATAATTTCTTCAGATTAAGATTTAGAATTATCATAGTCATTAACATTTGTTGTTTTAACTTTTATTTAATTAAAATTTAACGATCTAATATTTTTTTGTATAATTTAAATTATATTTTTCAAATATTCAATGTATGGATGATGCTTGGACGGAAAATCTACACTGAGGTGAGAATATTCATAAACGCGTAATAACGTACTGTGTTGACATTCCTTGAGTTCTATAATAAAATCATAAAAAAACTACTTAGCATATTTTAAATAAAAAATTTGGAATATTATTTGTATATTTATCATCTCTATCTTCACAGTTAATATAGTTAAATTTTACTTAACATATTTTTAAATATTTTCTTTTACTATTATAAAAAGTGGAAATTTCATTGAATAATATTATTACCAATAAAATTATAAATTCAAGTAGCCAGAGGTTAGTTAAACAAAAATTATAATCTCTAGGTGATGCTGAAGATCCACTTTTTACCAACCGAGCACACCTAGTTGTAGCTTTTTATATCTTTTTTTACTCTGATTTATGAAAAACAGCTCTACTGCGGCCAGTCTTATAAATCTCATTTCATTAACAATTTTAATAGACAATGAAATCAAAATTTTTTACCATTTTAAAAGCTATATTGTTCAGTTTGTAAAAAAATAGGTATAGATATTTATTAATCTTCATCACTTATTGCACAAAGAATTTTTAATTCGTTTTATTTAACAAGTTTTGAATAAAGTGAGCTGAAAAGTACCGAATTTGTTTCGAAGTTTTCAAAATTTCATAAGAATAAAATTATAACTGTGTAATTTCAAAGCAACAGAAGAAAGTTATTAGTATTGAGCTATAAATTAGTGATATTTTACTAACAACTCGTCAACTGAAGTACATTATTCAACAAAATTCTTTGTTTTAAAACTTTTCACATATTCTAAATAGTAAGCGGCACTTGTTCAGGGATTTCTTAGCTACGCATTACTTTATTTTTATGGGTCTTTCAATAAATAATACAAAGATTACAAAAATAATTGTAACTATATTTTATCACTCGGTAACTGGTAGAAAAAATTACATAATACATTCATGTCACGATATTCAAAGATTCTTATCACTTTTTTGTTTGAAATAATCGTCTCTCAATACTTGATTCATAGTCTGTCCAATTTTCATTCTGATCCAGACAGGGGGTATGAGAGTGAAAAAGTTTTGTATCCCATGAGCCCAATATCCCGTACTGGTGTTGACTTTTCCCAATGTCGCAATAGCATTTCTGGCATACGTAGATGCATCAGGGACAAACAAGCTGGAGACCTGTAGTGATAAAATTCACACCATTTGATCAACTCGTATTATCAAAGTATTGAGCGAAAATTCATTAAAAAATAAAGAAAATTGCAACTCACTTGCAATCTCTGACTAAATGCGTTCATTTTCGTATTGACGAACAGCGGGGTGAGATGCTGAATGGTGAGACCGTACTTGGCGTATTCGGCTCGAAGCGCCTCGGAAAAGCTGCGGACGTAGGCCTTCGTGGCGGCGTACACGGTCATTAGCGGCAGCGGTTGCAGTTCCGAGCCTGACGAAATGTTTACGATTGCGCCTTTGCCGCGTTTTTTCATATCGTCGATCAGGAGTCTCGTCATCATCGTCGTGGCCCCCACGTTGACGTTGATGATGCCCCACAGCTCGTCCTCCGGTACCTCGCCGAGATACATCGGATACGAATACTGCATTCCAACGTTGTTGACTGCAAGTCCAGAAGATATATTCGTAAAATTTACCCTTTTGCACAATTGATATAATTGTAAAATTATTTATTAAAGTCATACCTAATATTCCAACTGGAATGTCTTGCAACTCCTGCTTTATTTTCAAAAAAGCATCTGCGCCTTTGGTGAAATCTGCAGAGATTATACGTACTTTTATATCAGGATTTGCTTCTTGAATTTGATTCTTTGTTTTCTCTAATCTCTCAAGCGTTCTGCTAATTAATACTAAATTCATTCCTCTTGCTGACAATTCTTGAGCGTAAGCTTTTCCAATTCCATCCGTAGAACCCGTTACCACTAAACCAGAATTTTTTTTTCAATCATTAGCCACTTAAAATATTTCTCAAAATTGAAACGAGGTATTTAAAAATTGCGTATGCTCACCCGCCCATTCTCCGTACTCGCTTCTCAAATCGATCTGTTTCGAATTGAATATTGGCAGCAATATTTGCAGCGCCGCATTGGCCACTCTACTCACCGGATCGATCAGAGCCCAGAACAATACGAGCCCGATCACCAGCCACAGTGCAATTAGCATCAACATCTTCAATGCGATGTGTGGTATAAAAATTGTAAAGGATGCGACTGAATTAGCGAGCGTCGATTATTCCATTGTGCGCGAATTAGCGTCTCTCGAGTCAATATACTCGGAATATATTACAAAAACGAGAGTGAAAGGAAGATCGTTGTGCCGCTCGTATCCCCACGTGTGACGGTCACAATGTTTATTCAGGTTCGTCGTTTTCTCGAGAATCAGCGAAAAAAAATATGTCTCTCCGTGTAACGATACCAATCATTATTCGAGAGGCCCACTGTAACGAAAATTAAGATTTTTGATCGTAAATATTATTTATATTAGTTTATTGATTATTGATCAGAACTCTTTAGCTAATATTGTTTTGAATTATTGTTATTATTTACCGATCAGTCAATTCGAGCAAATTCTAACATCGATGCAAAAATTCATTTACCTATGAATTCGCTCAGTCTTGGCAGCGGTACGTCCCTGATGCTCGCCCAACTGGCGCAGCTGATGTCGAATTTTTTCTCGGCATTCGACGGCGATTGGTTTATCGAGAGCCTCGCGCACGGAGAGCTGCTGGCACAAGACTGAAGTAACGCATATAGCCCCAGCTAAGTGCGTATGTGTGTACAACAAGCGCACGACTGCGAAGGCAAGTTACTTTCTCCAAAGTGTGTGCCGCTGCTGTTGCTGCCACCGACTTTGCGCGCTTGTGCACACAGACACACAGACATTTGCAATATAAGCAAAAAACTTACTCCTCTCTTATCCGTTGCAACGCCGCTGCTTCCAGTGCAGTAGCCGCGAGCGCGTGCGTTACCAAAGCCATACCAGCCATTTAATGAGCGGATTCGTAATGTTTAAATCTCGATAACTATTTACGTGCGATAAATCGAATTTAACTCGGGGTGCTGAAATTATATCGAATGTTTCGTTGAGAATTTTATGTTTCAGATTTATGGGTGCTCGAGTATCGGAAATACGTTTGCGCTGCAAAAGAGATACTTGCCAAATACATTTGGAGCAAAAAATAATGAAAACAAAATGAAACGTTTATAGGATCGAACCGGAGGATCATAAAATGAGAATCGTATTTCATCGGCTACTAAACCAGCTGTAATATTTGATTTATTTGATTTATTGCGCGATGAATGACCGTTCAGCTGATACGTATCAATATTTTCAGACGATTCATTTATAATGAAATCTCAAAATTTAATACCGTCAAATTTCAAAAGCTATTATTATTTAACGAATAAATATGAAAAATTGAAATACATTACTTTCGTATTTTTTAAACATTCTCTTACGATTTGAAGGTGAAAAGATCAAATTGCTTAATGCATATATGGAACAGTTAAATTAACTTTTTGTAATATACTTTCGTCCTTGAAAAATGAGCAAGTCACGATATTCAACTATTTTCACTCACTTTTACGGTAATTTTAACCATTTTAATCCAGCAAAAAACTCCTGAATATGAGAAAAAATCATTGCCACAATCTATCGTTTTTCCTATAACTTCAAATTTTCTAGCTTATATTAATATAATTTAAATTATCATTTAATATAGTGAAAATTACTTTTCTTGTTGCCTTTAATTGATACGTTTTTTTTTCGAGTACCTTATGATGAATAATGAATAAAAATTTTCTGTTAGAAAATTCAAGTAAAATACTGAACGCATTTTTCAAAATCGGATTGTAATAAAATTTCCAGTATATCTTTAATTTATACCTACTGTTATTGATAATAACAACATGGAAATTATACTATTTAACTTAGTTTCGAGGATTAAAATACTTATAGGGCTCGAAAATCAATATACTTTATCGAAATTTGAATGAATAAAGACTGATTTCAGAGCATATCGTTTTTCCAATGACTTGTTCCAAAACAGTAAAAAATACCAGGATCTGTTTTTTGTTTAGAGATTGCTCATACTTAATAATGACACTTTGCCTTTTCTCTTTTGCTTTTCAAAAATTTGGCGTACCGACATCTAGCGATAACTTACGAACTGCTGTGTACATGAAAAAAGAGTCAAAAACGACGCGACACGATAATTTTTAAAAAACTTGCCACAGTTTTGAAGATATCAGAGTTTTGTAATTTTATAAAATTTTGAGTTACTTTTAATGCAATTATCTTAAAAATGTTCCATTCTGCTATAATTTTCATACACATATTTGAAAAACGACATACACATAAAAATCATGTGTTTTCAAGAATAACTTTTGTAATTTCGAAGTAAATATAATAGAAAAGGTCATTAAGGTGTGCTTATACTAGAATATTTCGGTAAAAATCTTTATTAAAAGTACTTGAAATGTGTGAATAATTTTAAAAGTATTATTCAAATGCAAACTATTTTTATGATTTTACTATTAATTTTTATGCTACTTTCAAAAGAGTAAAAACCGTTATGATTTTAAAACTTACGCGTGGCATTTTATGACTTATTTCGTCATTGTCTTAATATTCACGAAAAATTCAACACTCAACAAGACTAGTAAACTTTGTAAAAGAAGTGATTGTTTCGCTTAATAACTCAAACGATTTCAAAGTGAAAGTAAATTATTTATCGGATTTTGGATAATGAACCATAAGTTTTACATTTTTTTGATAGGTAATTATGATTGTCTTAACATAAAGAATTAAATAAAAACATATGGATTAATTTATCTTTCAGCCCTATTAATAAACAAAGAACTCGAAGCTACTCCTGTATCAACTCAAAAGCCTACAGGTAAAACTCAATCGTTCCGATAATTTGTGTCAAAAATTTAAATTTGTTTTTATTTCTGTCCATTTAGTTCGCGTAAAGTTAGAAACTAAGAATGATCGGCTAAATCCGTGCAATTACGGGCCATCTTATTACTGTCAATCGATCAAGTAAGTTTTTCCAGCGTATCAAAATATTAAAAATTGAAAATGACTCTGGTTGAAATACTCAACATTTTGTGGCGAGTTTTTGGCCAGCGAAAAAGTAATAAGTATAAAAGGGCCGTTAGAACTGCACACATAACAACAAAAATTGTAAGGTTTTTACGTCTAATGCCGCGGCAAAACACGCATGTTCCACATTTTTTAAATGATTGGTTTGACTTGCATAATTATTCTTACTTTGCCACTTCCAAATTAATAGATTATACTGATAACAGAATTACTAGCACTTATTTTTTCAAATACTATGCTTGGACTTATACAATTATTCTTACTTTGCCACTTGCAGATTTACAGAAATATAGGTATTCGCCATCTAGTGGTGAAGACCTAAAGTAATGCAATCTTTTTTAAAGTGGTTGAAAACTGGTCTAAATTTTTCGAAAAAATGAAATTGTTATTTTTAGGTTTTTTAGAATGAGTTTAATATTTTCATATCATGGCCATGATCAATCTCGAGTACTTGCGCAAAAGATAGGTTTAAATTGCCTTTTTGTTTGCAGACGTATAACCGAATGCGGCGCAATTGGTCTCTGTCCTCACTCTATTAATGTAAATCCGACGGAAGATGAAGTTCATCCAAGAACAAAAATATTAATGAAAAAACACATGTTTTTCAACAATAAATAGTCGTATAAATATCAAAGTATGTTTATTAGTTATGAGATATAATATAAAATAAAATTCTTGAGAAAAATAAGTGAGCGTTATTTTCGATTCTTGACTCTTGCCACATAAAAAACCCGCTCACAATCTCTTGGTCCAGCGTGCACTCAAGTCAAAGAAGCTGCATCATATTATATATAGTGTACAGCGAGCAGCATCAAAGAGCATATCGCGCGTGTAAAGAAAAAGAGATCCGCTCGGCGGCGAGATGCTGCTAGGCGGCGCGAACTCGACGACTCCGAAGACCATCTCTGCCTGGCTCCAGCTGGACTGTGAGTCCAGTGAATGTACGCGATGATGCCTGGAGGTGCACTCCATGCACATTCCCCCTGCCCAAAGACGATCCGCTGCTGCTGCTGCAGCCGCAATGACCGCCTGTGTGCAGCGTCCACATATACAATCTCAGCCGTAGCCGCCGCCGTCGCCGCGTTGTTGCCTTGCCATTACACTTGATCTTCGATCCGATTCCGCATTCACCTGTTATACTTATGTGCGAACGCTCCGCACGTCATAGAGTTCAATTTTGAATGACGACAAATTATTAAAACAAACTTCGGCTCGGTTTACATACTCGCGCGTTCGACTCGCGAGCGTAATTATATAATTAGTGCGGTTTAATACATTTGGTGCGTGGAAAATCAATATGAACGATGAGCGCGCGGGTGCCACACAGTTCCTGACTTAAACGCTATAAAAGTTTTAAAAAAAAACCCCTACTGTACCGTTCGAATGACACGCAAGCGGCTGATCTTTATATTTGAAAATTCCTGTTGATCCAAGGTAAGTGCCACAGTAATATTATTGTTTATCCTTACTTAAAAAAGTGATAGGCTTAAATAGCGTGGGCAGAACGAATTCGCGGAATCTTTATCAATTTTTTTGTCTATCGACTGTTCCCCCAACAAGAGATGTAAGCGAATCGAGAAATCAAAAACATCAAATTAGGTGAGTAAAGTAGCTATGGTAACGCATTATTATGATACATTTTTATAAGATTGTGCTACGGGCGGGCGTGCGTGAGTGTTCGATGCGACGCAGGTATGCGATACCGGTGCACGGTATAAACTTGACCCGAATTAAGAACAACGCTGCATCTCTTGAGTTGAAAAAAAAATGTTATTGTTGCAAGAAAAGATGGTTTTATTAAAGCTCGTTTGCGGTCTACTTTTTTTCACTCGTTTCTTTTTCTTTTCATTAGAGCCCGAACTAAATTCAAACGTATATTAGAACCGTTATGATTCATGGGTCATTTGAATTGTTAATCCGGTCAGTAGTTTAACCCATTCTCGCGATACCGAAAGTAAGAATCGATAAGTTCGTTGATTACAATATTTACGATTGCATCGTAATGAAAATTTTCTATTTTTGACTTGGACTCATCTTTACAGGCATCAAACTGTGAGCTACCGCTGCTGCTGATTCGATGTTGTTATCGCAGGCCATTTTCGACGATGAAAATATGGGCTCTCGTGCTCTCGGTGATTGGCGCATCGTTGGCCTGGATCGGACGCGTCGCAGCTCAGGAAGTTTGGGCCGATATCGGAAATAGGTACTCGCTGTCGGGCCCGAACGCCTTGACCAGGTCGACGCTGCTCGATCGTCAAGAAAAACTGCAGAACAAGTGCGAGCAATCGTCGAAGAGAGAATTAACAAGAGATCCCGAGTTGTTCAAGAATCTCTTGGTCGATGATCAACATAAACTGCTCTATTGTTACGTTCCGAAGGTATGTATTTTTTCCATATTCGTTTACAGTTATGAAAAAATGAATACCAACCGTAGTTTGCAATGTTAAACATATTTGCATTAAATTTTACGCGAAATTCTTAAAATTTGAAGCACATCACATAAATTTCAATTCTTTTACATAAAAGCATATTCATGTAGGTAAAGAAAAAAAAATATTCTTTTATCTTTGTATTGATTTTCATACCTGCATTGAGTTATACAATTTTTTTAACTTAGCCACTTGCAGATTTAGAGATAAAGAGGCCCTCGTTATCTAGTGGTGGAGGCTGGCCTTGATTACGAGTTACTAAATCCCCACGCTATACATTCGCTCACAAAGTATTCATTTCAGCAGTCTATTTTTTTCAAAACCATGCTTGAATTATATACAATTATTTTTACATAGTCACTTGCAGATTTACTAATGAAGGTATTCGCCATCTAGTGGTGAAGATTGTCTTCAACTATAATTGAATTTTCATAAATTTTTTGTAGATTCTCTTTTAGTTTCAAGATTTTTTCACGAATCGCGTCACATACAATTTTATGTAAAATAATTAACATTCAGTATTTTTAATTCGTGCTAATCTTCTTTATGTCGTTTTTTGTTTTTCCACATTTCTAATATAAATAGCTAATTATGTTGAATATTAATTGGCATCAAATAATATAATTAATAATGCTCATACTTGGTAATAAATCTAATTTCGATGGATTCGTTGCTATCTACGGCAAGGCCAAAAAATTCTTTGTCAGACCTCTAGATAAAAGGAACAGTAAAAAAGGAACAGTAAAAAAGGAAAGCACCTGTTTTTGACTTATACAATTATTTTCACTTTGCTACTTGCAGAATTACAGATTCAGGTACTCGCTATCTGGTTGTTAAGGCTGTCTTTAATTTTGATTAAATTTACGTTCAATTTTTGAGCAATTTTCGCAAAGAATAAATCAGTATTTTTACATTAATTTTTCAAAAAGATTTCATGTGAAAGTATCTTAAATAAAATTTAACAATTATTGTTACAAGAAATATTAAATTTAATTTAATAACAGTACACCATAGATTGATATTGATATTTCGCTCGAATTTCATCAATTCCAACTTCAAGTCTTGTTCCTGTTATATGCACGTTAAACTCGATACACAATTTTGCAAATCGACCAGGTGGCGTGCACGAACTGGAAGCGAGTGTTGATGGTTGCGACCGGAAAATGGAAGAAGGTGAATTCGGCTCTGGAGATCCCGGCGGCTCTGGCGCACGCCATCGGCACATTTCAACGGCTCAGCAACTTCGAGATGGCCGAGATAGAGGACAGATTGGCCACCTACAACAAGCTCATAGTCGTTCGGCACCCGTTCGAGCGGCTGCTGTCGGCCTACAGAAACAAATTCGAGGCGAAGAACGAAAAGAGCTCCAGCTACTTTCAGTCACGCTTCGGTAGAAAAATAATCAAGGTCGGTATGGTTTTCGCAAAAAGTCTCTCTCTCTCTCTCGTCGTCGTTGCTGGTGGCCTGTGGCTGTAATTTTTATATAGATATTTTTTTTCTTCTTCTGTATCTCTTGCCCATCGACGCGTTTACTTTGAAAAAAATAAACATTGAGCCAGATTGGATTCTTACAGAAATACAGACGTAATCCCTCGACGGGATCTTTGCTTCTGGGCGACGACGTGACGTTCAGGGAGTTCGTCGACTTCATCGTCGACGACGACAACGAGAACGGGACGCGCAACGAGCACTGGCAGTCCATAACCGACCTGTGCCATCCCTGCTTAGTCAATTACAATCTCGTGAGCAAGTACGAGACGCTCGTGGAGGACGCGACAGAAATTCTAGAGCGAATCGGCGTCGATTCCGTAACGTGAGTTTATTGTATGAGAAATTCGATGACTTTGAAAGAAAAAAAGCATTATTTCAACGAGTTACTTTTTAGGTTCCCTTCGAGGCCGCGCAATGTTGAACCGACCGAAAATATTCTGGATAAATATTATTCGAAGCTGAGCTACGGGCAATTGCGCGATCTGGCCAAGCTGTACCATCGCGACTTTTATCTGTTCGACTATTCCGTGGAAAAGATTCTCGGCTTCTCGATCGCCTGAGGTGAAATTTTTCTTTCATCGACAATAAAGTGATTTCTATTGTGAATACTAATTTGTAGAATTGTAATTATTTAAGTATTAATTATTTTGTAAAGAGTTAATTTAAGCCTATTGTCATCGTGTATAAAGTCTGAACTAAAAACTACGTTTAATTAAAGCAATCACGAGTCACGGAGCTTTTGTGTGAATTATTTCGTGTAATTATATCGATTGAACTTGATGAATATTTCGTCGAAGAAATTTCAGGGTCTACACCGACGTTCACTCGCACACCATTTCTCAATGAGATGTGTAAAAATCGTTCGTTTTTACGAAAACGATCTTTCGCAATATATTCAAGTGCATGTCTCGAGCATACAGGCATTCGTTATTCACGCGGGTATACGTATGCAGTACGTATGTATACGACTATAAGCAGCGCAGATATAGCATTGAACTATACTCGAGCGAGCGCACATATATAATTATACTTTGTATTTCCGTTCGAGGCGCGGATTAAAACGTACACGCTGAAAACTCGCGCGCTGCAATCGGTACATAGTCGGGGGGCCAGTGAATTCTTAATGGATTCCGGATTGCGATATATATATGCCTTGATTAACTAATACTGAAAATAAACGAGGAATCGCTGGGCATCGTCAGGATTTTTTTATTGAATTTGTCAGGGATAAATATTCGAGATTATTTGAATTAAATTAAAATTTCAAATGTATACTTATCGTTAAAGAAATTCAATCCGATCCGTAGCTAGGGTAGTCTTATAAGTACCCCGCGTTTTCTCGTGCGTTATGATACAGTTGTAGTCTCGCGCACGATTTCTTTGTATGTGGGTTTAACCTAAATTTTCCACCCGCTCCAACGCGAAAACAAGATTGATAGAGTCAGAGGCAGAGAATATCCGTACGCGCGCTCGAGTCGTGCAAAAATAAAACTACTTAAGAACCCGTGCAAGCGAATGCACGTGTGCGCCTCCGCTCTCCGCGGCACTGACCATCCGTCAAATTTCGCCTATCGCTTTGAACACGCGCGCGCACTATAGCTCCTCGTGTTTTTCTACGAATATATTCGTGTGGATATACTCGCTGCGTGCGTACGTCAATCCGCAATCTTTATTTACCGCTTTTGCAAATGCGTAGTTTGCGGGGTTCGGAAAATGGGTAATTTTAAGCTTTTTCGTGTATCGGCATACGTGAGATGGATCGCCGATTTCGCTACTGATGGCCTTCGGTTGATCAGTTGGGATGGACATCGAAAATTAAACGTACGAACGACAATGAACTTGAAACATCGAATTCAGCTTTGAATTATTCTATTTCAATTACGATGAAGAAAATTTTACCACTTATATTTTACAGTAAAAATTTTATATAAGACCATTTTCTTTCAATGATCAACTAAAAAGAAACGTAGCTCATCAGAATAATTATTATGTTCTGAAACTATTGATTGACAGTGTGACGAAGCACACAATGTATCGCGTGAAAAAATTCATTATTGTCAAAATTCGATAACGTACAAATACTATTTTTACAACAATGACGAAAATGTTTTTAGTTGATCGTAAAATATTTTCGGACCAATTATTTTTAGTTTAACAATGTGTATCTGTGGTTCGACACAGGTTTTTCCATTGTTTCTTCTTTTCTATTTTTTCAGTGCCTCTATTGAACGAGTCTTCAACGTTGATCTTAATCGTTTTGTAACTTCATGTAATCTCGTACTTGCATCAATCATTTTGCCCTTTTCCAGCAAATTTCGTAATAATTATTACAATGAATTCTATTCGGGATATACCATATTCATCGATACTTTTTTAACCCGTTTCGGGCCAAACGGACGAAATTTCCTACATTTGTTCCGATGCTATAAACTTTGCGAAAAAAATATCTCATAAATGTTTAAATAGAATTTTCTAACGTTAACTTTCATGAAATTTTTGAATCCGGTGTCAGAATTGTCAAAAAATTTGCGGAGCAAGAGTTATGAACAATTGCACAACAAAACACACGATTTTTTTGAAAAAAATTATGATTCGATCTAAATTTTTGAATCAGAAGAGACTTGACAAAAAAAGGCATAGATAAAAAAAGTATGCATTACAAAAAATGAAAAAAGTAATGAAAAGTTATCATTTTCTAGGCTCATAATTGTGCTGTTTCTTAACAAATAGAAGTAGATAGAGAAAAAACCCTTAAAGGAAATTGGGCATAAGTAGCGTTGCTTGGACTCATCAAAATCCAGTACACCTGGATAGTCGCTGAGAATTCGAAATCTCAGCGACTATTATGGTGTTACTAGATTATGATGAGTCCAAACAATTGCCACTTGTGCCCAAGTTCCCTATAGATACCACAGCCTCGTGCCGGGATACTCCGAGCTGTCTTATCTTTAACACGTGGCCTTATGGGAGAAAGTCTTTTCCTGGCTGACGCTAGCCAGTGGGTCACTCTCGACTTTATCGTTTCGCGAGCTGTCAGTCCTACCCCTCGGACCGCAATTTCAGTCCGGTCACTCGGCGCGTCGTCTAGTACGGTCAGTTATCTTGGGCACAAGTGGCAATTGTTTGGACTCATCATAATCTAGTAACACCATAATAGTCGCTGAGATTTCGAATTCTCAGCGACTATCCAGGTGTACTGGATTTTGATGAGTCCAAGCAACGCCACTTGTGCCCAATTTCCTTTAAGGGTTTTTTCTCTATCTACTTCTATTTGTTAAGAAACGGTACAATTATGACGATTATGAGCCTAGAAAATGATAACTTTTCATTACTTTTTTATTTTTTGTAATGCATACTTTTTTTATCTATACTTGTTTTTTGTCAAGTCTCTTCTGATTCAAAAATTTAGATCGAATCAAAATTTTTTTCAAAAAAATCGTGTGTTTTGTTGTGCAATTGTTCATAACTCTTGCTCCGTAACTTTTTTGACAATTCTGACACCGGATTCAAAAATTTCATGAAAGTTAACGTTAGAAAATTCTATTTAATCATTTATCAGATATTTTTTTCGCAAAGTTTATAGCATCGGAATAAATGTAGGAAATTTCGTCGAAATGGGTTAAGATCAATTTTCTATGAATATTTCCTTATTACGGAAATCCCAGCATTAGGTAATCTTACGTACTTGTAATACATTATTAAAGCTTTTCAATACCTAATTTTTGAAAGAAGCTCAAAGCTCGACCACACGAGAGCTTTCAGCTAGTGGGTGGGGAACGAATTCCTTTTCTGGAAAAAGAGATGCCAGAGAGGTAGAGGGAAGCGGTTAAGCAGCGTCCCAGAGACGAGAAAAATGAGTATCGCCCAGTCTCTGACGAACCGCAACAGGCAGAGCAATCAACCTTTTGGCTAAAAAGCTCGCTATCTCTATCTCTCACTTATTCTGACAGTTATATACTAAATACTCTTAAGCTACTTTATTATTTTGTGATACATCTGGTGAGTGTTTGTTGTGCATTATTTTTCATCTTCAAACATTGTTCCTCACGTTATTATTTCATTGAATTTAACCAAGGATTTAAAAATGGCGGGCCAAACGTCGAGTAGGCGAAGGAGTTCAGTCATTCCGGCACCAGCCCACGAAACGCAGAACATTTTGATGACTTATTTTATTTTGATAGTGCTACTGATATCGTTGTATATATTGTACTCTATGTTTTAAATATCATTGATTCTCGACGCGGTAAGCCATTGGAAAAATTTTTTATGAGTAATTTTTGACTGCTGACAGTTGATTAAAGAGATTTAATTTTTTTTAGGGGAAAAAATCTTCGTATCACGATTTTTTTCATCTTTTTATAAAATGTTCTCGAAAGTATTTGTTTTCAATTCAATCTAATTTTGAAGTGCAAGCGCAATGAATGAGTTTATCAACCAGTTACGGTACATTATCAAAATCAAAAAATTAATAATGAACATTTTTTAAACAACATTTTCTCTGAACATGCTTAAAAACTTTCAACTTACTCATATCAACCATTAAAAAAATTATCGTTTTATTTTACTCGATTGAATACGATTTAAAAATGTATCATCATTTGAAAAACTTTGTATCAAAATACAAAAAGGTATCGATTTATAACTATATTTTCATATTCAAACTATTTTTGTTCTACCTTTCACGTCAATATGTTTAATACAATCTTTCAAAGATTTTCCCCTGTCATTATATTTTTTAAATGTAGGTCAAGGACATGTAAATAATGAAATAATGTCTGCATGAAGTAAAGAGTATAAAAAACGAAGAATGAAACCACGAGTGTGGGTGATTGGTCAAAAATAGATGATATTTTCACATTACCGAAAAATAACTCTGCGTGCGGATAAAGAGAGAAAGAGAGGAAGAGAAAATATCCAGATCCATATAATCACACGTCTAAAGTCATGTACAGAAATAAATACTCTGTTGAATAAATGTTTACTATGAGTTTAAAAAACCTATCTGTGAAAATGAACTTTTTGAATATAATTTGAAAATTCTACACTTCATCTGCGTAAAATTGTGAATTTTGTCTATGTATAATAGTTTATTTCAGAATAATTGTATCTTCCCAGTCCAGAGTTATTGAAATAAATTATTATTTCATATATCATGTATAATAATGATATACACATCTATAAATAATTATTTATAAAAAATTTTTGAAGGTTTCACCCGTTCCGTTAAAAGTAAGTCAATTACTTCATTAAGAAAATTATCATTAGTCTTTTCATTTTAGTTACTTAAGTATTCGAAATTTATTACAAATTTTCTTTATTTTCATCATACTGTCTTTAGTTATTAGAAGTAATATTTCTATGTATGTGATTTGAAATATTTCCACAGTGCCAATCATATCAAGAAAAAATTTTCTCCTTATTTGTAGCATTATACTTCCTTGGTAGTGAAGCTCAACATTTTATGGCTAGTTTTTAGTCATCAAAAAAGTTTTTCGGATATGCAAGAGCCATTCGAACTGAGTAGGTATATGTTACCTTAGCTTGAAATCGGGGCTCGACTTAAATTATTTTTATACAATTATTTTTACTTTGCCACTTGAAGATTTATAGATAAAGGTACTCGCCATCTAGTGGTTTGAAGTAGAATTATCGTATTTACGGTAGTAAAAAGTGGTCTAGACAATTAAATCGTCATTTTCAGGTTATCTAAAATGCTAATATTTGTTACATATAATTGTAACAGGAAAACGAAATAACTCTTTGCATTTTCTGAATCGAAGTACTGCAACATTTTCAAAATCAAAATAATACATCAAGTGTAAAAAAAGTATATTATATATCTAACGAGAAGAGATTATTACTGACAATTTTGAAATCCACACTTGAATTCAGTCATATCTAAAATTATGTGCAGATTTTAAATGAGTTAAATATTACTTAATACTACAGGTTCATGATACATATAAAATAATACATTATTTTAATAACTTTACTCAATTTTATTCAAATTTATTTAATAAATTCTTTAGGTAGTTATAAGTCGATTGTAACATGTTATATATTATAAAATAAAATATTCTAACACTTATTTATTATCGGTAAAGTAGAATCAACCTTAACTTTTTTAACAGCAGATGTGAATATATTTAAAAAAACTTAACAAATCATTATTTAATATATGCATTGAGATTTTAATCAGCTATTATACTATTATTCAATAATTGTATAATACTTAATTCAGTTACTTTATTGTATTTCCTATTTTTATTATCACTTTTATTACGAGTTTGAAAGATATTTTATCTTGACTATACGCGTAAGTTAAAAAAATATATATTTAGTTTATCTCAATAATCATTCACAATGAATAACTATAGTTAACGATCTATGTACAAAAGTAATATAACAAAATACTAACGAGTTACCGCAATAAAAATGTGGTCAACACTGTCGCGTCTCCGAAAACATAACATCAACAAAAACGCTTTGTAAAAGTACCTAAAAATAGCTGATATTTCAGGTAAGTTTTCAAACTTTCATAATCATTCAGTTGACTAGTCAATTTTCCCAATATTCTACACAATTTTTAAATAGTATCAAAATATAAATTGTTTTTGCGATTCTCGTTCCGCAAATACGATTCGAAGTGATTTTACACCATTTTGTACTCAAAGTTTTACAAATTAATTATAGTTATTTACGCATAAACGTATCGTCAAAAGTCTTGAAATAAAGCCAATTGCTCAGGTGGTATAGGTGGCTGTGAACGCCAATCTGTCTCCGGATAATCGTCAAAACAGCTTGCGTCATCTGGGGCTTTTATTTTCGGATTAATTGGAGGTATCATGCGTCTCAGTCGTACCTGAAACACAAAAAAAAATTTGATGTACAAAACAAATAATGAAATTAACTGCACTTCTTATCTCAAATTTTTATTACCATACTCCAGTCGACGTGTTTGAACCATCGATGTCTTTTGATATCTTCCACGCCTTGTCTCATATTTCCCAGTCGTTTTGTCCTGTCAGCTACGAGTAACTTTTTTATTAGATCCTTGGCAACTGGATCGATGTGTTTTGGCCATTCTATTCTTCCTCCGAGGATTTTTTCATAAATTCCAAACGGATTGTCGTCGAAGAAGGGTGGAAAACCAGAGAGCATCTCGTATATTAGTATTCCAAGAGCCCACCAATCAACTGCTTTGTTGTGACCTTTACTTAGAATTATTTCAGGAGCCAAATATTCCGGTGTGCCACACAGAGTCCAAGTTCGGCTGAAAAAAGTGAAATTCGTTAAATTCGATTGATATCAAGATTCTCTAACTAAATCAACTGCATAATTTTTGGATTTAAGCATTTATTTGTACCGTTAGCTTGTTAGATAGCTCACATAAAATTAACATTACTTTTAAACCCTTATTAGGAAAATTAATGGAAAAAAATTAACATCTGAAGAAGATACAACAAAACCATAAACATTTTCATTTTTTTTATACGGAACATGATTTCTCAGAAGATTCGTATGATGTGCAAAAGCAATTGAATTAATTAAAGCTGGCTTAGTTCCAGATAGATGATTAATGAAATCAACCCTACAGGTCCATAAACTACTTTACATCTACTTATTTTCCAAAATCACATTAGTCATTTGACTAATTAACACTTACGAATTAAATGCTTTTGCAATAAATCGTAGCTCACGCAACACAAAAAATACAGTTGAAATTAATTAATTCTCGTACCTGTCGATCAGCTTCTTTGAAAATCCAAAATCGGTAATCTTCAGATGGCCTTGACTGTCCAACAATAGATTTTCCGGTTTTAGGTCCCTATAAACTATGTGTTTGTTGTGCAGATACGCTAACGCGCTCACAATTTCGGCGGCGTAAAAGCAGCTCGTGCTGGTGGAGAATCTTCCCGCTGATCGTAGATAAGTAAACAATTCTCCACCGGCAACGAATTCCATTAACATGTAAATCCGAGCGTCGTCCTTGCCGCTCCAAAGCCTGCGAACGAAGCGTATAATAAATTAATCATTATCGTCTTATCAGTCAATAGTCGGTAATTCTTTTTTCGAAAAATAACTCGGTGGAATAACAAATTGCGCGAGTGAATTGCAATTTTTTTCATTTCACTTGAGAAGATCATGTGATGGAGCTAAATTTAGTATCGGTGTTAAACAATCGATTTCACGGCTGCGTTGTTTATTGATTCCTGACTTTTAAACAAATAAAATTACGCAATTAATATTCGCAATTTCATTCGTAACGATTCTAAAATTTATTCTGAACATTTCGTAGCGAATAATGAGTATTTGATTTTCAAAACAATTGAGTTTAAAAAAAGATTTAATTTATATGCTCAAAGTCTTGACGATTTTTTATCTTTCTTTTAAATATGGTATGAAACATACATTCACAATTCAAATTTCCTAAAATACATCGTGTTTACATCTGATAATTTGCTTCCAAATCGATTCAATATTCATAGATATTTCCAAAAATACAAAAGGTCGTTCACTTCTCAAACCGACTTCCGTTACATTTAAATGAGGTGGGAAGTGGTAGGGGAGATGCGAGAAGTTGACAAATATTTTTAGTAAACGCGGATATGCACATAGGCGTGGCGTCCGATTTTGCATGACGCGTTTCGACTGAATTAAAAAAAAAATCTTATACGAACACTTATGACTCGCTCCTGCTATAATCCGTTGACTCTCTCGACTGTCTCAACGTAATAGCGTCGAATAATAAATACACTTACATGTTGACTATGAAGGGATGCTTGACTTCTTTGAGGACTGAGATTTCATTGTGTACGTGATCCACCTGCTTGAGTCGAATGACGTCGACCATGGTTAAGATTTTCAATGCCAATGGTTTACCTCGATGCTGGCATAGAACGACTCTGCCGAACGTTCCCGTACCTGTTTTTTAAATGAAAAAAAAAAAAAAAAATTGAAAATTAATCATCCATTACATTCGAGTACTCTCGACGATGTATTTATAATTTCTATACAACGAAACTCTTTGACGAAACTTCCGAAGCTCAGAGCACCACCGCGATTCAAATAGCAAATAGAAGTTTAGTAGTGGGACGTGCACGAGTGTCAACTATGAAATAAACATTGAAAAACGTGTGCGTAAGTATGACAAAATATAACGTATTCGACACGTTCGCGCCAAAAATAATATTCACCATTCTTAAAATAGAATCGGCCATTTATAATGAAACTTTCTCACGGCGTTAAAGATTGTATTGAATCTCTTTCGGAGCAGTCAAACGATCTAAAACCAATTAGAAATTTTCCAAATGTTTAGCCTTTTACCATTGTAGCATAATAAAGCTTGGCTTATACTGAAATTCAAATTTCACGTTGACAATAAATCAATATAAAATAAAAATGCCATTTTTTGCTTTTACTTCCACTGTAGGATATGATTTATTTCCAACAAACTATTAATTGTATTATTACGTATACCAAACTACTAAAGCAACTTGCGCAATACTTTAATGGATTTAAAGAGCTTTTGAAACAATGAGCGAGATTAGGAAGTGTATGAATTGATAAAAAAATTTTTCCACCATTTAGTTGTAATAATATTGATTAGATTTTTCAGAGTGAATTTTGACACCATTCTATGAATAAAAATTGAACAATTTTCGACGATGTATGAATGCATGGAATTATTACCTGATCTCGTCAATTTATGTAAATTAAAATATTAAAAGCAGGAGGTTTATTCGCAGAATGAATAATCTCGATGTCAATATTTTATGTCTTAAAATTAAATTTTATCAAGTGACAATGTGAGAAAAGTGACAATTTTATGCATTCTATACCATGTAAACACGATTCAAAATCATTACGACTTACTTTTAAATGAGAATGTACGCATGCTTATCGTTAAATTATGAAATTTATATCACCAATTCAAATGAACCGTTGCTTACTTGAAGTTTGACTTTTAGGCATTGTTTAATTATGTTAATTAAAAACAAAAATAATGTGAATGACTCACCGATGGTCTTGACAATGTCAAGATCGTCAATTTCATATCTTGGCGGATCCTCTTGAATTGATTCCTCGTCAGATGTGGTTTCGTTAGACATTTTCTTCGGTTTTCAAATATCTAATCGGAAGCAAATATAGAGACGGTTCTTATCGAGCTTCCGATTCCTTAGAATATAGTTGGTACGGTAGTTGTAAAGATATCGAACCGATTGTCTTATACGGTGAAGCCAAATCAGTCGATGGAGATTGACTCTTCTTTTTTTCTTCTCTCGTTATCTCGGCGAAACGTTTTATTCTGTCGGAGAAGAATTTTTTTTAGTGTCATTCATCGATACAACAATGTCACACGTTCGAGACGTACTCTTGCACCGTCGACAAAATTGAAAAAAAAAGAAACATCATCTTTTGATAAGAAATTATAATTTGAGATTCGTGTCGCGGTGTATGTTTCACATTAAAATCAGGTCGCGTTATTTATAGATTATAAACCGATCCAAATTTTTCTCGCCGTTGAGAGTATTTTACACGTGGATATCTCGGGTGATATTTAATTATTGTTTTGACTCGGTTGGTTAGAAAATCTGTCTCGTTGGATTATTTCGTATTCTATGCTAGCCTCAGCAAGATCATCCGAGGCAAAATACGCTACTTGAATTATATTCTTATTTGCAAATATTTTCGATAATATGAATTATATCGTTTGATCGTGATTATGCAATGAAGTGCGATGGTCCAATGTCAAAGATATTAACTTTCAATGGGACTCGTGCGTAGTCAGATCGAATAAAAATATTTCTTCAATTGAGAGGTAAAAAATATTATTTTAAAATTATTTTTGAAATTGCAACGTTTATCCGTTATATCAATTGTTCATATAATAATAAATAAACGAATACTTCAAATCTCAGTACATCTGTAAGGGTAAAAAATTGATTCGACCATGCATTTGCGACTGTGCAACGCATATATTTTTCACTAGTACATCTAACTAAGGTTTTTGAACCTTTAGAGAAAACTTTAACACTTTTAAAAATCGACATTTTTATCTTATGTAACGAAAAATCAGGATACGGTCGAGTACATAGTTTGGGGAACTTGGGTAATGCTTTAATATTCGCTTCCTCGAGAAACTTTCACCTACACACAAGTGTACGCAGAGTACACAGACAAACATTGCACATACACACACGAATTGTACTTGCGCGCGTTGTAATAAGCCGTAATTTTTTTAACCCAAGTGTAATTTTTTGTGTCGGTACTTGCAAAATCGTCCGAAAAAATGTACCTAAGTTGATTCGTCGTGTACCTCCAGCTTCGTGCACGTTGCTTTGCTTGCACACTCAGCGGAAAAGGATAAAAGGAGCCTTTAAAAAATTTACAAGAGAAAGCTGTACGTTCTCCTGCCACTGCTTGGCTGACAGTGTGTGCAGTCCATGTATGTGTAATCCGCGTCCTACTGGCCTGTTTCGCCCGCAAAAAAGTGAAACTCTGTTATTATGTCTGGTGTACACACACACAGAGTGCATGTATACGAAAAATTTTTACTCGCTTGACAATCTAAATGTGCGCGCGAGTCAAGGTTTTTTTTAAATATTTTCAAACGTTTATAAAATACAAAGAAGAAAAAAGTCAATTTTCGCAATGGGCAACAACAGTAGGATCAGTTACGATAATATTCTATTGCTAAAAATTCGATCGCCACTACCGATCTGTACAAACCGATCGATAGCTGCGAGTATTGTCAACGTACCTTTTTTGTCACTTCGAAATCGCCCCCAGTCGAATCGATCGAAGCACGAACTTTCAAAATTTATTCGCTATCACCACAAACGAAACACCACAATCGATAACACACCGATGGCAACTGAAGCACACTATCGGAGTAAAAAACTCTGCCGAGCACAGGGGAAAAATCGGCAGCGGCGCTTCGAAAACACACAATATCATATAAAGCGCAGCCAGCAGCAACAATTCCGATCGGCGAGTATCACGGAACTGAGAGAGCTCGTGTCGTCGGCTGCTGCTCTTTCTTTCTCTCTCTCTCTCTCTCTGTCAAATCGTCGGATCGTCGAGTTGTCGTCGTCGTCGTCGACGCGCGCGTTTGAAATCCGAAAGCCCCGTCGCGAGTGAGTGAGTCGCGCTCGCAGCAGCAGCGGGGCGCGTGTACCACACAGCAGCAGCAGAATACACACACGGACTCGCGAGAGTCGCGGGACTCTGCAGCAGACCTCTGCCTCGCGACTCTCGGCGGTAGCGGTGGTGGCGGCCGCGTGTGTGTATATAATGTCCTACCTCGCGAGCGTGTGTGTGTGTAGGTGAGTATATATATATATATATATATATACGCGCGTAGCTCCCACTCGACGCGTATATATATAATACTAAAATCGGGGCTATATAGGGTACGTAACTCGCTCCTCTCTCTCTCGCTCTGTTCCGCGCGCGCGAGAGAGCAAACCATGCGCTGCAAGCTGTGTACAGAAAGTACACTGCAGCAAGACTCATAGCTATTATATAGCTTTCCTCTCTCTCTCTCTCTCTCTTTTGCAGTGGCAGCAGTTTCTCTTTCTGTATCCGCAAAGTGCACATGGCATTGCGCCTATAAAGAGTCCGATTTTACGCACACAGACACACAGACAGACACTGACGAGATACTATATCGGTATCGATGCACGCATTGACCAACGATGACGACGACGACAACTCGAACTTTCCCAGTGAGTCGTCGCGCAGAGTTGCACCGCGACAACCTTATAATATACGTGGAAAGTCGATCGGAAATTTCTCAAAATGTCAAACATCTTCGTTTTGCGGCTAGATTTTAATGCGCGCGCTACATAGTATTTAATGCGTATAAATCGCTCCAGCTATGCACTTCGGAGTCGATGCACAAGTGAAAGCAATTTCATCGCGGTTACCTATATACTTTACGTACTCGAAATACAGGCAAACGTTTTATACACTTTTAAAATAAATCCACCGCCGCGGCTGTGGCCACTGCCGTTGTGCTCCGCTACATCTGCTGAATACATAAATTCGTAAAATGACGTTCACATTGTGAAACCATGTTTCGTGTACACAACGTTGATACGCGCGAACCCGAACGAGACGCAGTTTTTTTTTTAACAACTATGACTCTTAAAAAACTCAAAGCTTATGTAAGCTTTAGCAGCAACAGCGGCAGCGGAGTCGCAGTCCATATGATTGTTCGCGAACGTAAAAAAAAAATTAGTTCCAGAATCAAAATTACTCCCACGTAAGTCCAGATACAAAGTTATCACAACCTGTCGTACGAGTGTGTGTGTGCATGTGCGAGCACTCCGGGGAAACAATAGAATTAGGTAATTCCACGTCAAAAAAAAAAAGAAGAGAGAAACATCGATGAAGCTATTAAACTGCGGAAAATATCGTCTTTACGATCATCGTCTTCATTTCAAAAAATTTACAACGCTTCGCGAGCGGAATATCAACGCACAAAAAAAGGTTAAATAATAATGATGATTCAGCTAGGCCATTAGCCAAGTTTGATTATGTTTTATTTTCAAAAAATACGTGAGTAAGTATTTTTTATTTTTTTTTATTATTGAAAATCATTAAACAGATAATGCGTTGTACTCGAAGCAATAATGATATTTTCCATTATATACATCAGCCTTCCTAATTTCGCTCGTTCATCTAGTTAATCATATATTTATCTGTTATTTGCTTCCTTTTTTTTTCTACTAAATAAAGCGCAAAGTTTCAAAAACAACCTTAATATAATAACCGATCAAGCTCGACTCGTACATTATTTATACTTTTTTTTTGTCGTGCTCTTTGACAACAAAATAAAAACGAACGAACGCAAGCCATCGCAAGTGTTATATTGTCTTTTTAATGTTATCTTCGTTCTTGGGACGTATTTTCATGGTCGCGGCCGTGCAGTCGTATACACGAGAGAGAGAGAGAGAGAGAGAGAGAGAGAGAGATCGAGATATTTTCTGGCCGCGCGAAAATTATTCATCCCGTGCTCAATGATGATTACCTACAATGAAATTCGAAACACAGACCGTCATAATATGTTTAATCTTGGATTCAAGTCACACTCGAGATAGACGGGTAATGCCAGAAAACGACGCACACACGCGAGCGAAGAACATCTCTCGCGGTCGCGTATCAAATTCGTGTGTGTCTCGGGCGCAATATATTATATATACCCTACCGCGAGCACGTGGGAGACATTATAGACGAAAATTTTCAACGCGTAGAGAGAGACAGAGACACAATGATGTCGAAATCGCGTTTATTGACGTCGTCCCGCGTACAAAGTTGTTATATATAGCCGTAAATATATAGTCCGTATGAAGCAGCTCTATATTAGAGTATTTAATGCATCATGGAGCTTATGCATTATATACACATCGATGCGTACGTGCGCGCGATTCGCGACGCTTGCTCGTATTCCGCGAGTTTCGGCTTATTTTCGAATTTTGTCACATTGGCTAGGTGCCCAAAATTTATAATACACACACGCACGCACAAACGAATCGCGCGTATGCACGAACGTTGCACGCGTCAGTCTCATTCAAGATTATTAAACGCGCTGCAGCACGAATCGGCGTTACGTAAAAAAAAAAGAAACACGCGCGGCACATTCGCAGAATGGATTTTAGGCGCGGAAAAAGCCTTATACCCCTCAGAAGAGGCCTGCATCGCCGACGTAATGAGATTATCGTTGTTATGTATATAATATTTGATTGTTTCCCTTCCATGAAGCTGTAAAATGTTTCCGCACGCAACGACAACAATCGTTATACATTCACGAATAATTCTCGGTTTTGTGCATGTCGCAGTTTTATAACTTTGGGTTTTTTTTATTATTTTATTTCGTTTTTACTCGCTGCTCGCGCGAACGACAATAATAACGCGAGTCCGGGAGAAATTGAAATCTGTGTGTACACCGGCGCGCGGCCGTGATAAAAGACACACTGCGTGCAATAGGACAGTGCGTCGCCGATTTTATGAATATGATTCTTCCACTCGGTACGCGATTGCCGATTAGTTTCTCGGAAGAAAAAAACGCGAATTTATAAGAAGCTCTCGCGAGTATGCACAATGATTCGGAAAGCGACGACACGATGCGACCGGAATGATAAAGATCTCTTACGTAGGGGGCGAGGGCAATCGTTACGAAATGGACGCGATCGTAACTTTCGACGTACGTACGCCTTTGATAAGACTCTCTGAAACATAATGCGTTAGAAGCCGCTGCAGAGAAAGAATGATGGTCCCAACTAGTTGGCATATTTTGCATAAGGTATATGCTACAACATTATTGAGCGTGTAGAACTTGAATGTGTATAGCAATCTATCAGTCAAGTGCCGCCCGCATATTGCACGGAACAACGGTCCTCCTGGGCGATCTATCGGAACTCGATCTCCGCGTGCAGGATGACGAGAGTGCCGAACGCGCGCGCAATGCGTCGTAATTACCGATCGCGTATACACGAGCACGAACATATATATGTAGTGCCCGCGTCTTTAATAGTCGCTCGCGAGCTTTTTTTCCACGATAAGATTACGCGATTGATTTATTTTTACGGAACTGCGGCGCTTTTTTCACTTTACGAGTTGCGCGCGCGGCGGCCATTTAGAGAGCCGATCGCGGCTCGCGTTGAAGCGCTCGGGGCGTCAGCTCGCGATCTACGTCGTCCTTGTCGCAGTCGACGTCGTCGTTGCCGTGATCGTCGCTTACGAGAGACGCCGGAAATTAGCAAAAGCAACGTTATGTATTAAGCGCCAGCAGCGGTGACGAAAATCCATAAGAATCGAGCAAACGTAGAAACTTGCTAATAGTTAGACTGATTCTTCGACTTCGTCGTTTTGGTTTTTCTTATTGGTTTTTCTTATTCTTATTAAAAATTACGAAAGCAGCCAAGACATTCCCGGAAGATCGAAACCCAATGGTTTTCGAGATAAAAAAGTTGAGTTTCGTGTTTTATAAACATTTTATTTTCTGGGCGGCTTTTTGTTGAAAAAGTGGCTGAAAAGATCTGTAAAAATTTCTCGAGACTTTTCTACTCCCATTATCACCTTTGGTCATATTTTATTATCGAGTTTCTAGCTGTATTACTTCGAAAAAAGTATATTTTTACTCAATTCACAGACTTAATACGAAATTAAAGTAACTAAAGTAACAAGGCCTCAAAGGTGTTTTTTAGTTGCTCAATATTTACTTTAAATACACAAAAAATTTGAATACAACTTTGTTGGGGATTGTGGCAATAATCACTTCCTCGAGACCTGTAAATTGAATTTTTTCGACGTCATTGTAACATTTTTAAACTTGCGCCCCCAATTGGCAATTTCGACCCTGTAACCGAAAACTCGCCACTCCAGACTTTATTGAAATGATAGCTTGCACTTGATACTGCGTATCAACGCAGTGCTTTATACAATTATTTCAATTTTACCACTTGCAGATTTACTGATAAAGGTACTCCGCCATCTAGCGGTAGAGTCTGAATTTAATTACGATTGAATTTTCATACAGTTTATGCACTCAAAAAACCAATCAGTAATTATCCATTAATTTTCAACGGAGATTTATTTTAACAGTTGTTAAACTTTAATGTATGATTTTTCATTAAATCTGCATTATGCTCGATAATTTCTCACTCAATTTATAATGTTCTCTCCTCGGCAACTTATACTTGAAATCATGCCGTTTTCGATAATATTCTTAACGAAGTGCATTTACGAGAAAAGTTTGGGTAAAAAGTGCCCCCATTAAGGGAATGAAAAGAAAGCTCGCAATTCACTGCGCGAGTATAGGACATGTATAGACTACTTGGATGTGGGTACCTGCACACTCGGACGCTGCTACTTTATGAATGTACTCGAGTGCGTGTATGTGTGCGCTCGATCGTAGCAGCTCTCTATGATAATCTTCGCATATAGGTACACATTCAATATATATCATTTAAAATATCTCCTCGATGAGTTTATAAAGTCCGGCGATATGTTGCATCGACGATTCCCGCGCGCGCGTGGCATGTCATATATGAAAAAGATAAATCCATAGCCATTTGTTGATTTTTCCGCTCGATAATGTACCCCGCGCGTATATACGTATATACGTGTACACGCGTACTTGTGCATAATACTGTTGCTCGAGCAAAAATTTGCAAGCGAACCTACAAGCGCGCCGAGAGTACCGATTTTTTGCGACCTCGCGGAAATTAAATTTCACGTTATATCGTACACTGAGAGAAGAATTTCTTAACAGTTAAGATATATCTTTATAGTTAGAATATACAAGGTTCGGCACTTCTATAAAGGTTACATTCTAACTATTAATAAACCAAGAAATTAACTATAAACATACATCATGTTACGAGATATTTCTATGGTAATGAATACAATTAAATTGTAAATCGATTTTTTTTATATATTTAAATAAAAATTCAATTCCGGCCCCCACGTAGACAAAAAAAATGAAGGAAAAGTGTATGAAAAAAAGGGTAGGAAAAGTGTGTCTATAGATTCGGAGATGCACTTTTGCTACACTTTTTTCTCGCATTGATAATCGAAAAATTCTACGATTACTTCGAGGATGTCGACTCGTTCATGCTCGATTGGTGCACCTCGCCATGGTAGTCGAGGGCCAGGACGGAATATTGCCCTAGAGGACGATTTCCTCGAGGAAGTCGACCAGGTTTTACCCGTTCAGAGCACCACGTCACGCTAGTCACTAACCAGGTGGAAGAGGTGTACAAGTTGGAAATTTTGTATTTTTGGACGATTTTCTCGAGGAAGTCGACCGAATTTTACCCGGTCAGAGCACCACGTCACGCTAGTCACGAACCAGGTGGAAATTTTGTACTTTTGGACGACTTCCTTGGGGAAGTTGACCGGGTTTACCCGTTCAGAGCACCACGTCACGCTAGACGTGTACCAGGGGGAAATTTGGTACTCTTGGTCGACTTTCTCGAGGAAATCATCCGAAAGTACAAGATTTCCACTTGGTTTGTGACTAGCGTGACGTAGGGCTCTGACCTGGTAAAATTCGGTCGACTTCCTCGAGAAAATCGTCCAAAAGTACAAAATTTCCACCTAGTACACGGCTAGCGTGACGTGGTGCTCTGAACGGTAAAACCCGGTCGACTTCCCCGAGGAAGTCGTCTAATAGTACAATATTTCTACTTGGTTCATGACTAGCGTGACGTGGTGCTCTGACCGGGTAAAATCCCGTCGACTTCCTCGAGGAAATCGTCCTCTAGGGCAATATTCCTGGCTCTCGACTACCATGGCGTGGTGCACCAATCGTGAGTGTGGAAGAATATGTCCATTCGCACATATCTCATTGTCAAACTCGTAAGGTAACTATTAATATATAAATCTTAAATGTAAAAATATCGCGGACCTAAAATTCAACTATGCGCTGCTTATTAACTGTTAAGAAATTCTTCTCTCAGTGTACAGCAGCAGCCAACGAGAGAGGCCGACAAGTTTCTCGTAATGTTGGGTGCACTCGGATAAATTTCAAGAACAATACCGACTCTTTGCAGGTCCAATGAGTAGAAATGATAGTTGGATGTGCGAGTAACCCTTAAAAAATTGATTCGATCTAGTTAAATTTTTGAGAGTATAGGGGAGAATCACCTATTGCGGCGCGTGTGCTATTATGGCGCACGTCTACTTAGCATACTTAGAAATATTTGTTTGAACTGAAATTCAACAACAATATTCTATGCAGAACACTTATCTAATTTATGCAAAAAAATTTTTAAAAAATACAATTAACAATGAACTACAACTAATGTAATTAATGATGTTGTCAAATTGTAATACTGTGAATCTCAAAACTTAATGATACAAAGAGATTACTGCTCGGAAGTGGCTAATACTATGATGGAAAAGAAGTATTTGTGCTCTACTTTAACATGATGCTTTATTTTTAACGATTTATCAATTATTAATTGAGTCATTTACAAATTAAGAAGTTATTGTTTTTTTCCTAATGTGGTGCATTCTCGCGGCCTATTATGGCGCACGAATATTACATGTATTGAGGTCTACATTACCTTAAGCTTGTGTATTCAAATAATTTGAGTAAAATATGATACGCTACAATTGCGAAGCACAGTGTTTTTGCGTTTCATACTAACATTATTGCTAAGCACATGTGTTTTTGCATTTCACACTAAAATCATACTGCGCCATAATCGGACGAGATATGCGTCACAAAAGATAAAGGTTATAAAATTGCAGCGCAACGTGACTAATTGTTTCAGTTCAATTTGGATGAAAATAATTAATTATTTACATGTGATATTGACAAGGTGATAATTAATTTATTTTGAAAATGGCTTAAGTGCGCCGCAATCACCCATTCTCCCCTACACGACTATTTTTGAGTTTTGAAATTTTGTTTCACGAGGTCAACATAATCGAGGATTTGATAAAAGAAAAAAACCAATTGAGTACAATATTTGCTGGGTATCATTAGCCCTTAGAGGACCGGGGCGCATACTTAATATACGGCGCAAGGTCAAATCGGTCTCCAGATATTCGAAAATAGTTTGGTCTATTACGTAAAAAGTCCCACTTGACTTTCTACGGAGAAAAGTCTTTTTTGGAATTTCTCAAGTGCCGCTGCTTCATATGTCTCGCTGCGCACCGAAGTCTCGTCGGTCGCACAGTCGCACTCGATCCTAATTTTGGTGTAAGCAGCCTAACTGCAACGTCACTGTAGCGCCAGACGCCGATCTACACTTATCTCTTGTAGTTACATGTGCAGCAAGTTCGTGTGTAGCTTTCTCCATCGAACGACACGTCGTTTAATTCGGTAACAATTAAAAAGCATAAATACAGCGAAATAGGGGCAACGCCTGGACTTCGTTGTGGATTATTGTTATTATTGCTGCGTACGTCACATACACGAGCGACCCTTACTACGCTGGATTTAAGATTTTCTCTCGTAGCTGTACACATTTCGAGTTACTTGTGTCTTCAATAGATTCGACCATGTGTTTTTTACTTTCTAAATGAAGCTCGTAGTGAATGTGTATTCAGTACAGGTTAAGACGCGGCAGCGTGGACATCAAGAATAAATTTCAGCTATTGCAGCAAGTGATTAATAGTGAAAAATATTTCATATTACAAGTGACAGTGCATTATTAGTGTGTAAAATGATGGCCCAAAACGGAGAGCATCAGCTGGTCCAAGTTGAAGAACGTGACAATTTGGGTAATACACCATTGCATTATGCCGTCGAACGCGGGGACAAAGACTCAATGAAATTTTTGTTAAGCAATGGCGCCAATGCAAATGTGGCAAACAAATATGGATTCACACCTCTGCATTATATTTGCAAGCAAGAACGCGACGATGGCTTGGCGGAAATCTTCTTCAAGTGCAGCGACAAAATCAATCATTCGGTTCCAATCGACACCCAGAACAAGTGGGGTAAAACACCATTGCACATGGCTTTGTACGCACGCAACACGAGTGTGGCCGAATTACTGCTGAGAAGAGGCGCCAATCCGAATCTGGTCGACTGGCTTGGATTCACTCCTCTGCACGTCATAAGCAAGCACCGTTACAATGACGACTTTATCGAATCATTCTTCAACATCAGCGAGGAAAAACATCGGCTGCTGCATGTCAATGTTCGAGACTATGAGGGTAACATACCATTGCACTTGGCCTTGCGTCACGGCCAAATAAAGTTGGTCGAATTGCTGCTGAGACGAGGCACGATCCAAATATACCCGATGCAGGGGGATTGACACCTCTGCACATTATGTGCCACAGTGACCGCCTCATTTATGACTCAATGAAGATATTATTCGATATCTGTGAAGAAAGAAATCAGCAGGTGCAGGTCAATGCCGTGGACAAATGGGGTCGGACACCGCTACGCTTGTGTCTTCTTCGTGGCGACAAAATAGAGATGATCGAATTGCTACTGAGAAATGGGGCCAATTCGAATCTGGTCGACGCGAGAGGATTAACACCGCTTCAAATTATTTGCCAGACACACGAATGGGTTACTCAAAGAGGACACAATCTTGAGATGACAATCGATAGCGTAAGGCATCTTATGGAATTGTTGCTGAGAAATAACGCCAATCCAAATCTGGCTAACGAGGAAGGATTCACTATTCTGCACATGATTTGCGAAAATGACCGTGGTCATTACTTTGTAGAGATATTCTTCAAGGTCTGCGAAGAATTAAATCAGCTGGTGCAAGTCAACGCCCAGGACAAGTCCGGTAACACACCCCTGCATGTGGCCGTGAAATATGACCACATGAAGACGCCCAGATTGCTGTTAAAAAAGAGTGGACGTGAATATAGCCGATGCAAATGGGTCGACTCCTCTGCACGTTTTCTGCCAGAGATGCAGAGTCACAGATGGCCAAATGATAGAGCTATTTTTCGAGGTAAACGAGGTACAGGTTGACGCTCGGAACAATAAGAGTCGAACACCTTTAACTACGCCATTGTAAATTTCTTGCCACATTCGGTCGATGTACTTCTGAATCACGGGGCTAACATGTCTAGCTTCGTTTTTCCCACCGTGAGTCAGTTCACCGAGAAATATAGCAGGTGGTCGACCTTTAATATTGATAATATTAAATTGGATTTAAGGTCTGGCGTTCTGGCCGTCACTGAACGTCTCGAGGACAAAGGATATGAATTGGACCGAGACGCTACCTTGACGATCATGAAATTGTTCGCTTCGAAGGATCTTTGCAATTATCCTTCTGATATGGATGATATTGACGAATTCAATGATAGACATGATGATGAATATAAAGATGATGACGAATATGATGTCGAATATGATGACGAATATGATGACGAATATGATGGAAATCATGGCAACGAATATCAGTCAAATGACAACAACTTCCAGCAGATAGCAAAAAGGGCGATGATAATTCCCGACCTGTCGCTCTACGACCTGATCCAGTTACGACCCGAAGAGGCTGAAAAACGACTCACGTATACGGACTATTTGGAATTGGCGCGCTCGCCTAAATTGCGGAAACTCTCCGAAAAACGTCGCGATGCTTGTATTGAACATCTTTGCGAGACATTGTCGAGAGGAGTTTTCCAGCGATGGGCACTGGATTCTTTTTTGAAACTCATTCACGACCGACTGCCGATTCTCTGCTGTGACATGATCATGGATCATTTTGAAAACAAAGATTTTTGGAGTATTTACTTGGCGAACTGCGATCTAAGCGAAGCGGACAGAAATGACCCGCTCATGCAAGTTTTCTTTTCATCGTTCCATGCACAGTATAGTATTCCAAGCCTTTCTGAAGATCTGCCAATTGATCTTTCACTGTGATATAATCAACGTCACTTGGAATTTCTGGTGTTAAGTGTTAATTTTGAATATTTCCCATATGATTCAAATAAATATATTTAAAAATCACTCCTTATACCCAAAGAAGTTTCCTTCAAAATGACTTCTAACTTTTCAATAGATCAGCTCACGATCATCCGATGTAAAATATCTCAAATCTCAAAGAATATTATAATACCTACATAATTGCTAGTGTATTTTTTTTCTATAGTTTTATTCTAGTCTTATATTTTTATTCTAGTGTTTTTGAATTGTCTGGTTTTATTTAATGTTAAATATTTTCCATACCATTCAAATAAATAAATAGAAATAAATCGTTGCCAAGACATTGGCACAGGACTTTCTCAAAAAATGGCTCTCATTTATTATTATTTTTTTAATACTGATAAGTAGTGAAAATAAAATATAAATTATTAAAAATCGACAATTCCTTGTTCGACGAAAATTCAACATACTTATTTTACAAACAACAATGACATGCGTTGGATATTAAATCTAGTTTATAAATATTTAAATCAAATTGTTCTTTTGAAGCCTGGCTTACAAACTCGTGATGATAAGCACTCGATCATTTGAAGAAAAAAAATTCAAATATTTTTGAAAAATGGGTTACTCGCTCCCCCCTAATAAACCACTTGTAAGTCTGCATTGGTTTCTCTAACACACGCGTTAGATTATCGGATCATATCTTCTTGTTTTTGCTCCTTATCTCCATATGTTATTCGCAGATTCGGGCAACAAATTATTTGCAAAAAAAGTGATGCGTTTTCGAGTCTCGGGTCACAAAAAGCTCTAGATAGTATTAAAAATAAGAAAGAAAAAACGAGTTAAAAAAAAGTAGCAAAGTCACGATTTGGCGAGTGTGCACATACGTGCAGACACAGATGTATATAATGCATGCGGCGTCGTATCACAACAATCGTGACTCATTAGGCACTAGTAAAGGCGGCACGTGGAATCGTGCCCAGTCTCTTTCTCTCTCTACTCGTCGTCGTCGTCGTCGTCGAGCGAGAAAGCTGCAGCAGGTCCAGCTGTACTGTAGCTCATAGATCGTATGTGTCAACAGAAAATCAATGCGAATCGCGCGAAAAATATCGTCGAATCATACATGCACATTGGCCGAGAAAATTCAATTCGCATTACTGTACGACTCGCTCTGCCGCAGGTATATAGTTGTGCTTGCCGCGAACTAAATGTATCTCGTACAAGCGGCTCTCGAAGCGCAGTTATGTGTATTACGAGCGCGCAGTTGCGTGATTTGCGCAATTGTACCGCAATGTGCAACAACATCAGCGCAAGTGCCAATAACGCGATGTAATATTGCGAGACGTCCTTTTCGATGCATATAATAATAGTCAATGGTCAGAGTAAACATTTTCGGAGCCGTGTGTTCGGTTGACAAGTGTGCCGGTTCGCGATTTTGCGCTATCGCGGGAGAAATCTGCCCAGAGCCTTGTGTTATACATAACTCGGGTAATTATAATAGCGGCTGTCGCACGAGATTTTACCGCCAACCGATTTCTATAAGTTATTATGTATCGCATATACAGTATAACCTAGCCACAGCGAAGAGAAAAAAAATAATCGATCGCCGAGGCAATATGATTATTCAATCGACCGCGAGCAAGATCGCGCGATCGAACCTGCGCAAAAAAGAGTTTTAATAATATAATGAACAAAGCGAGCACCAAAGAGAGCAGCTATGCGCACGTATACGTATACCATATTAGCTGTATATAGAGCCGCGACGTATTATTCGCTAACCGCTGACTGCCTGCCTGGCTTGGAGCCTATGTATAGATACTGTAAGCTAGAACAATCGGAGATATGCTGCAGGTGTGCGCGCGCCTGCGTTACTCCGCAACATTATGTACATGTGTACCACTACTAATTACGAGAAACGCTATTCACTCTCTAGCAACGACGTATAATATGTAGGGTATATACGTGGTAGATATCTTTTTTTTGAGCGAGTCTTTCTTTTTCCTCTGTGTGTCATTTTTTTCTCTTTACTCGTGATAATAGGTGTATACGCGGAGCTGTTGGAGGGCCTTAAAGCACGGTGAGCGGCCGAGCAACGCCGACGAAAGGATTGCCGTTACTCGTGGGCAGCGATCGAAACTATATGCCAATTATCATAAACTCGACTGCGGCTACCGCTGCTGCTGCTGAGCAATGATTCGACATTTACGTGCGACGCTATTTTTCTCTATTCTTAAGAGTGTACCTTGCCTAATAATTTTCTTTTTATTGTCGTTGAACTAAATAATTTTCGGTGAAATTTTCCTTGATTATTGATGCATCGCGTACTGATTAATTTTTTTATGAAAACTATATGAAATTGTACGAAAGAAGATTCAATCAATCGATTATCAACTGAAAGATAAATGTATTTTAATGATAACTATGCAAAAGTTTTATGAAAACTCCATTGTGAGTAAATACAGTCCCCACCGCTAGCTGGCGAACACATTTTTTTGTGAACCCACAAGTGGCTAAGCAAAATAATTACATATAACTCAAAGCATGGTTTTGGAACATTAAGGTACTCCATTCGCTTGTCCTGGATGGTGAATACAAATGGCAAAGTCAAAATAATTGTATGATGTATACAGCACGGTGTCTGAAACTTAGGACAATTTTCGTGCAATAAACTCGCTTACTAAAAGAAACCAAGAATGTTTTGCACCTCGACGCGGGTTTTTTTTGAAGGTCAATACCATTGCAGGCAACAAATGCGTCGTAATAAAATTCATTTCGTTGCTCAAGTATCAATAAACGTGTTATTAAATTCCAATTTATTAATTAAATGTACTTGACGTTCTACATTAGAAATGTAAAAAAAATTAAAATAACAACTCAAAAATCAATGTGATCTGAATCAATTTTGTAGAATTTTGCTTCAAATTTTTATTTTAGGTTAAATAAATAATGCATGCAAAAAAATTTAATTTGAGAATTAAATATCGTTAATTTTTATAATTAAAATTAAATAGAATTTATCTTCATGGAGAAAAAAAAAACTCCATCGTGTAACAACTGTTGTCAACCTTCTGCTGGGGGTAGATGAGATAAGCAACTGGTTATGCTTGTATCTTAGACGAAATAACGTCGTCTGTAAGAGATAATTCTTCGGGCGTAGTCAAGAGCAACAAATGCGCTTGAGAATATTTCATCTCTCCGACGCTCTATAAATTCGCTGATACTCTATGCGATATAATTTTTGTAATCTTTATTAAAAAAATCCGCAAAACTAAGTCAACTTGCGCCTCTCGTCTGCACCAGAGTTTAATTAGAAAAAAGCCTAGTTGCCCATTATTGTTCTCGATTAGGAAAAAAAACACGATGCCCGCTGTTTAACTCAATTTAACGGCTGAGGACCTTTTTTCGCCGTACATGATGCGCTCGAGGCGCATTGCCGATGATAAAAACTCGTTGCGTGCGCGGAGCCGCGCAGTAGCGCAGCGACTCGGCAATTAGATTTATTTACTTTTTAATTTATTTCTGCTCCAAATGTTTTGAGAATAACAGCTCTTCGAGAGAATAACAGAAGCAGCTCAGCAGCAGCCACACTAGCGCTACTTTTGATCCGCGAAAGAATCGCGCTCTTTGCTATGCTCGCAGCATATTATTATTGCAGCTTTAACACAGACTAATTCGCCCAACGAATTCGTGTCAGAGTATGTAGTATAGGAAGTCTGCTGGCCACGTTGGTTCGAGCTTATGATTTTCATAATGCGACGCTCACCTCGACAAGCGCAATATTGATGCCAAGTTCATAGCGAGCGTGCGAAATTCATCTAATATAACGCCTACGTACACGAGAGAGCTAGAGAGAGCTTGGCAGCTTATAATAATAATAATCATAATCATCATAATAATCATAATAATCATAATGGTAATGTAGATCGTAGCTGTGCAATATCGTCGTCGTCGTGCGTCTGTCTGTCCGTCGAGCTCAACACGTGTGCGAGCAAAAAGTAAAGAAATGAAAAAGAAAAAAAACTAATGCTGGCTATTGATTAAAGCCATGCGACCCGCAGCCCATGCACAATCGTAGTCGCATAGGCTTTTATCGGTCTCTG